GGCTCAAGTAGATCTTCCTGTCTCAGCCTCCTGAGTGGCTAACGCTGCAGATGTACATCACTATGCCCGACTACACTATTGACTTTTATTATGGATCCTGTGTATCCAGCTGCCATCCCTGATGTGCTTTTTCTAATAAATTCGTAGACTCTTAAGTATACCATGCAGAAACATTGTGTGATCTACATAAGACCAGTTTCATTACTGTTTTCAGCATTGGAGTTTAAGTTCATTTCTAAGAATGCCAGCGTGTGTGTGCATGTGTGTGTACATAGATTGCTGCCAATTCAAAAAAGGTTTATCTTTAAAGTGCCGGGGACTGAACGCAAGGCCTCGTGCATGCTAGGCAAGCACTCTGCCACTGAGCTCTGTCGCCAGACCACCAATTCAATATTTTATCTTGTTTTTTATGGAGACGGGGTCTCCGCATGCTGCTCCCTCTGTGTGCTGCTCCCCACGGCAATCCTCCTGCCTCAGCCTCCCGAGTGCTGGGATTACAGGCATGCACCACCATGCTAGGCCTGCTCAATATTTTAAAAGCTGTAGGTCGATTCCGGTCTTCTGTGCTTCTTAAGTCAACTTTGGTAAAACTTCTTTCTGAAAAGTTGTTCTTTTGGTCTAGATTATCAAATTTATCATTATCAATTTTTAATTTCCTGTTATGGTTTTGGAATCTCTATTCAGTGCATAGTTATGTCTTACACTTTTCTTAAGGGTTTTTGTTTTGTTTAGTTCTGTTTTTTGGCACAGGGTCCTCTTTGTAGCTCAGGCTGGCCTTGAACTCACTAAGTAGTCCAGGCTGGCCTTGGACGCATGGCAGTCCTCCTGCCTCACCCTCCTGAGTATTGAGATTGCAGGGGTGTACCACCACACCTGGCTGTTCCTTATCGTTTTTTTTTGGAGGTGCTGGCTTGGCTTCCCAGAGTCCTAAATTCCAGCATGGCGTGGATCTCAGGAGATCCTTATCGTTTTCGTTTGTGATTTTTTTTTTCTTGACCCATCTTTCACAGGCTTGCAACTTGTATTAATTTTCTCAAGAGAAAAATCAGCTGTTTTTGTTACTATTGAACCTTCACATCTTTCCTTTCATGTCCTAACTTCTGACTCATAATTATTTTTTGGAGACAGGATCTTACTGTATGATTCAGGTTGGCTTTGAACTCACTGTCTACCCCAGAATAGCCTCAAATATTTGGCAGTCTTCCTGCCTCAGCCTCCTAAATGCTAGGATTATACCATAAAGATTGTTTTGTTTTATTTTATTTTTTTGGGTACTGGAAATCGAACTCAGGACCTTGCACTTGCCAGGCAGGTGCTTGTGCTGCTGAGCTACATCCCCGGCCCCATAAGAATCACTTACTACCCATATAGCATTCTGAATAATTTTCTTAGTTCCATTTCCCAGTTCAGCATTTGATTTTTTTCTTTTGTGTTCCATCTGCGGTTTAACCCACCTCTTTTAAATACGTTGCCTATTCCTACACATTCTGTTCTTTAGGATTTGTTTTTAAATTATAAATTCTAAGCCTTATTTTTATCATCATCATCATTATTGTGCTAGGAGTCAAACAAGTCTCTGTGCATGTTAATCGTGCACTCTGTGAGCTGTATCCCCAGCCCTAACAATGATTTTTAATGTTATTTTTGGTGTTCTTTTGATTGTTCTACTGTTTCAAGTTTCTTGGTGGGCTACTTCTTGTGTTCATCGTGTGTTCTGATTTTCCCTCATGATGAACTGTTTTCTTATACGGACTGTAATTTTTATTGTGGATTCATATTCTCTAGGCGTTGTTTTCTGTGAGAGTCTTATTACCAGGTGCCTAAATAGCCTTGTCATTACTTTTGCCAAGGTTTTTGTTTTTAATGGCTTAGGACTGTATTTTTATACTGTTTTCCTGACTTGGCATTTCCTTTCCATATCTTGAACTCCACATGCCTTGAATTTCAATTTTTGACATGGTCTTAACTTTGCATGGAGATCCTGGAGTGGGTGATAGGTTCTCTTGCTGCTTCTGTGGCCTGCTGGTCTTTCTTCTCATGGAAAGTGTGCTCTTCGGGTCCCAGACATGCATAGACTTCCAGTTATCAGATTTATGAAGTGAGTCACTTTCCCCAGTCGTGTTTCCCCAAACACGATTTGAAGGAGAGACTGGATTTGGCTTATGGTGTCTAGTGGGTTCAGTCCATGTTCATCCGGGTTTTTTTTTTTTTTTGTACCGGGGATTGAACTCATGCCTCACACTTGCCAGGCAAGTGCTTATGCCACTGAGCTAACTCCCTGGCTCCCTTGACGTGAATTTTGGATCACTCTTTTTTTTTGTTCATGGTTGTCTGGCTCCAAGGCAGATATGTGGAGGAAGGGCCGGGTGGAGGAAAGCTGTTCGATTCACGGCAGCAGGAAGCAGAGGGGAAAGAGGCAGGACGAGGAGTGCGCCCTTCTGGGTCACACCCCAGTAGCTCAGCTCCGGCCAGCTCCACCTGAACAGCAGGTTCGCTGTGGGCTCGTCAGTGGGTGATTCCACTAAAGAGTCTGGTGTCCCGTGCCCATCGCTTTCCATATGCACGAGCTTTGGAGAGGACACTTTAGAACCTAAGGCCACATTTTATGTCCTTAAACTGGCATTAAACCCTGGTTTCTCAAAGCCTGTGTCCAAATCAGACACGAGTCTTGGCCTCTCAGGTCTGTACTTTGGCTTCCTGCCTTCTGCTTTGGCACCTGAGAATTTTTCTTTTTGGCTGAGCTGGGAAAAACTATTTTGTTTGTTGTTACGACTGACACTGTGCATCAGTCTAGTGTTTATCTTTGTTGGCGGAGGATGAAGAATGGTCATGTTTCCTCTGGTGAGTGTGTCGTGTGAGGCTTTTCTATGTGTTTCTTTGAAACTACAGTTTCTACAGTTTGTATTTATATGGGTAGAATTTCAGTATTGCTAATTTATCTATTTATTTGGTACTGAGAATTGAACTCAGGACCTTGTGCTCGCCAGGCGGGTGCTTATGCTGCTGAGCTACATCCCTGGCCCACTTGTTAATTAATATCAAATATAATTTCCTTTGAAGTTTAGCAGTCCCTCCAATATTAGATAGGATTATTCATTTAGAAATACTGTTAGTTAAAGAAACTGTCAATCCCTAATCTGCCAGATCAACTAGTCTGTCATTATTTAAGTTGACCTGTAAAGTTCTAGGGCAGGGACATAAAGCATCCAGATTCTTTCTATGTGACAGTGATGACCTTTGTACTGCAGTTTTCAGTCGGATCATCAGTTCCATCTGAGTTGCCTAATCTCCTTGATTCAGACTACCAGAATCCCTCAAGGCCCTCTGCTTATCTGAATCTTTTTTTTTTTTTCAGCCTGGTCCTCCATCCTCTTCCATTTCTGGCTGTTACCCAGTTCCAAAGCTCCTTTTGCATTTTCAGGTGTAGTTAGAGCAATAACCTCACTCAAAACCGATTTTATGTGTTAGTCTGTTTTGTATTTGTATCACTATAATGAAATACCTGAGGCTAGGCATTTTATAAAGACAAGAGGGTAATTTACTTCAGTTTTAGAGGTTCATAGGCACAATATCAACATCACAGAGCTCTGGGAAGGCCTCAGGGTAGATGGCTTCTTTTTTTTTTTTGGTACCAGGAATTGAACTCGGGATTTTAATGATGGGATATGCGTACATATGAAAGGTGACAGGATGAGAAAGGAAGCCTCAGTATGGTGGGGAGGAGGAGACAGGCTTGCCCTGTGTGTGTGTGTGTGTGTGTGTGTGTGTGCGTGTGTGTGTGTGGTACTGGGGACTGAACCCAGGGCCTGCGGACTGAGCTACAGTCCCATCTCCAGCCCTTTCCTAATTTTTTATTTTGAGACAGGTCTCTCTGAGTCACTAATTTGTGCAAGCTGGGTGGAACAGGCTTATCCCTTTTATAGCAGTCCTCTTATGAGAACCAGTTTGGGAGTCCTGTGAGAATTACCTTATCCCTTCTGAGAGTGGTATCCCCAGTGTCCTAAGGACCTTCCCCCAGGCCTCATCCGTAAAGGTTCCACCATTTAACATTGCCACGATAGTGTCTGATCTTCCAGCATACGAACCCGAGGGCCACACCGTGTCCGAATCGTGGCACCCTTGATATTTCCTTATTTCTGCTCATGTTCCCTTCTATTGAATTAAGATTCATCTTGTCAAGTTGATGCGGAGCCTGACTGGTGCTGTATTGGATTTTTATATTAGTCTGAAGATTCTTAGTGTCTTACAGATTGGAGTCTTTTCTTTCTGGAACATGGAATTCCTCTCCAGCTGCCCTGCTTCAGTAAAGCTTTGTAAAGATTTTATATACTTTGGACTTTTTGTTTATGTTGCTATTGTGAATGAAATTCTTTATCCTGTTAGCTTTCCTAATGGATTATTTTGTATTGCTTTGGTGGTGCTGGGGACCGAACCCAGGGCCTCGCACATGCTAGGCAAGGGTTCTATCACTGTGTCACTCTCCAGCCTTTCCTAGTGATTGCTCTTAGTGGTGGATGGGATGAATAGATTACTTTGGACTTGACCATGTGGAGATTCTCCTGCATTATTTTCTTCTACCATGATCCCCACTAGCTTGGGATTCCAAACTTATTAGCTGTATGTCACAATAGATTTTTCTTCTTCACACTGTTCATTGAAATATTAAGCGAGGTCTATCCTAGCATTTATCTCCATAGTGCCAAAGTGTTTATGCTTCATTTAAATAAAACCAAATTCATTTCTACTTAGTCCAGCACAAGTGTCCAGGAGTTCTGATGACCATGTTTCTCCATCTCAGAAGGCTTTATGCATCTAACTCCATTGTACACTAACCCCTGTCTTAGCCATACGGCCCCCTTTAATTTTGTGTTAACCCTGTTTACCCAACCCCATCTCTCCATCTTCTCTGTGTCCTATCCCCTTTCTTCTTTTTTCCGTTTCTGTCCTAAGTAGCTTTGGACCTGCTCGGGGACTAACTCCTGAACTCCGCTCGTTCCCAGCCAGGACACCATCACCGGGGATATGTACTATTTCAACTTTGCCAATGGGCAGTCCACCTGGGACCATCCGTGCGACGAACAGTATCGGAAGAGGGTGGTTCACGAGCGGGGGAAGCTGTCAGCTCCTGGGGCCGTTAAGAAGAAAGACAAGAAAAAGAAAAAGGAAAAGAAAGACAAGAAGGACAAAGAGGCTTCCAAAAATGCTGTGGTGAGTCAGTGGATGCCCGGTCCGAGAGAGGTGGGAATCTGTAGGTGTGCGTAGCCAGGAATAAACTCGAATCATCTGAACTTTGCTTGATTCCAGCAGTTGTTAACATCTTGAAACAATTCCGCTTCTTTCTTTCTGGAGCACGCGTTGCATAGTTGAGTAGAAGGAGAGCAGCACTGCCCAGCGGAGGTGTCCGCAGTCGTCTAAGTGATGGCGTCTGCCACTCCGGCAGGGGACAGGCTCTTCGGGAGGCCAGTGAGCCTGCATGAGCGAGAGTGCTTTCCGTCACTGCGTGTCTGGGTGTCCTGGTGTGAGCTCGTTATTTTCTTTTTCGTTTTTATCGGTACCAGGGATCAAACTCACGACTGCCTGCTTGCAAGGCAGGCGCTTATGCCGCTGAGCTAAATCCCCAGCCCCTGCTCGTTATTTTCTTAAAGTGGTGGGAATTCAGACGTCAGAACAACAGTACCTTCAGGGTGCAAAAGAAAGTGTTGAGCCTGATCTGCTTCCGCCTTTTCCTTGATCCCAGCGTCCCTGGTTAGTGGTGGAAGACTGGAATTTAACTGCAGTGTGAGCACGGTGATGCTGAGCCCCTTTGCATCGAATGTGTCTTATAACCTTGTTGTTTGATTTGTTGCTTTAGCAGCTCTGAACGAGGAGGTGGAAGGCATTGCCCTCATTTTAGGAGAAGCACGTTGGGAAGCATAGAGAGCTGAGGCCAGGCTGGCCCACGTGTAGGTGTTACAGGGACCAGGCCGCTTCCCTTCACTCAGGCGTGGGCCCGCGGGCACACGGAGGAAGGGGGCGCCAGAGGAACTCAGTTCTGCCCGCTGGGGAGCACTGGGTATATTTTTTCAGCCCTCTCAGTGGTCCACGTTCTTATTCTTTTGTTTAGTCTGTTTCTCACCAGCGCCTGCCATTTCTCACTAAAGATTTTGTCCGTCTTTTTATCCCCCAGTACTGGGGTTTGAACCCAGGACCTCCCTCACACATGCTACGCACCATGAAACTACACTCTCAGCCCTGTCTTCTTCCTGGGGTGTCAATTCTAGCTCTGAACAATTGTTGATTAATTTAGCCTATTTCCCACGTTTAAGCTTCATTGATACTCCTGTCTCCTTTCCCTACTTGCTTATTACTCATGGTTCTGAGAAATAAGTCAACAAACCCATTTCTCTAGATAGGGAAAGGAGGGCAGGTAATTTCGAGTTTTCTAATAACATATGTTTGAAAGGTAAAAGGTGGCAGGTGTGTTTTTCGCTAACCGAGATTATGTAATGTGCCACTCGGCTATCTGGCGGGCTTTGGCATAGTTTGGCAGGGTCTGACATGACTAAAAGTGGGAGAGGAAATTAAATGAGGGCTCTGGGGTGGGGGCTTGGGTGACACAGTGAGTTCCTGTCAAATCCCCTGTTAAAATCGATTCCTTCTGTACTCTGGGGAAATAGGATCAATTGGACAGCTCTGGGCCATCTGGTTCTGTGGGCTCAGGAAAATCACCTCAAGCTTGCGTTTGTGTGGGGCACAGGCCTGAACAAGGTGGCAGCCTGGATTCAGGTGGTGTGGGCCCCCTGGAGGTGTGCACTGCCAGCTGGGTGGTGTTTAGTGCGAATGTTTGCAGGAGCTGTTGGGTTTGTTTTTGTGGTGTCTTCTATGACTGCTAGGTATCTCCCAAGTGATACCTGTGCTAGAAGGCCCTGGAATGAATTCCCGAGGCTCGGGGATGGGTGTGCTTTCCCCTCTTCTCTCTTGTAGAAAATTTCTGGGAGACCTTAATAAAAGGGGGATTTATGAGGTTAATGAATCACTGAACCCAAGAGCTAGTTAGCACCTTCGGGATAACCTGGCTAATGATTTTTGGACTTTCGTTAATAGTAGAGCTCTGTCCTTAGGCCAGTTTCTCTGCAGAGGTGCAGCTGGTAAAGAAAGACGTGGAGCCGGTCTGGTTGAGTGTGGGCACGTGGGCCTTGGTGATGTGTCTTCTCCGTCACATGTCCATTTTCTAGGGCTCCCCCAGGAGTTGAGTCCCTGATGTACCATGGAGCAGGGTTTGCAGGCTGTAGATCTCTTCCAGCTTCCTCTTTATGGAGAAGGTAACTGGAGCCGAGAAAACAGCTATTGTCTTTCTAAAAATTTTTTGTAATTTTTAAAAATCATTTTACGGGCTGGGGATTTAGCTCAGCGGTATAAGCGCCTGCCTTGCAAGCGCGTGGTCGTGAGTTCGATCCCCAGTACTGATAAAAAAAACCCAACAACTTATTTTTCCCTCTTTGAAATAAAAGCGATTTGAAAGAGAAAAAATTAATTAAGTTTATTGGTATATTTTAGGTCTATGCAATGATCTCATTCACCATGAAGAATTTATACCTGTAAATGATATAAGTTGCTTCTTTTTTCCCCACTGCCCTACCTGCGTTTCAATCCATCTTCCCCTCATTTACAAAAGCTTAAAAACAACTTATTTCAGCCTCAAGGAATTTTTAGCTTTTCTTTCCTTTTTGACTTTTGCTTTAAGTGGAGGGTGGGTTTCTACTAAGAACTTGAGGTAGTAAGTGTTTTGTCTTAGTTCTCTCTGCATGTTTATGTACCCATCTAGGACACACAGCCTGAGCAGGGACTTCTGCCTTCCTTCCTCCGTGGCCCAACCCCTCTCTCAGCACCTGGGCCTGCTGATCTGGACCTAGACCAAGAGATGGAGGCTATAAGTGAGGGATCCTTTAAGAAAAGAAAGAGTCCGTGCATGTTGAGTGACACTCCTTGGCCTCCCTTGGGTGCTTCCCCTAGCAAGCTGCAGCTGCTGTCCAAAGGCCAAGCTTCACAAACCCACCAAATCTTTGCCGATATGAAGACGATCGTAGGCAGGGCTCCAGCCCAGTGCAGGACAGAAATAGCTGATCAGCAGGGTTTGGAAATACCTCAGAAGGCAACAGAGAAAATCTGCCTGGGGTCTTCAGACCCTGAAATAGAACAGCTGGAAATGAGGACCAGACAGCAGAAGCATGGAGCCCTGGGCCCGCAGGACACTGGGCCTCTCCAGAATGGGCAAGATGCGTTAGAGAACGGGAGCCAGGCCCCTGTCCACTCTAAGCTTTCTGAAGCCAGCAAGGGCCCACAGCTACAAAGGGCACAGCATGGCCACAGCATAGCCACACTGAGCTTCACTGGTCCTGGGGGGGATAAGGGTCAGAGCCCTATGCCATTGCTCTTCCCTGAGGAGGAGGACTCCGTGTCCCCTGGTTCTTCTGACCGCATGCTACCTCCCAGGAAGAGTAAGCAGATCTCGGTAGATGGGGGCTTAGCTGAAGACCTGAGCTGGCAGGGTGTTGCTGGGGAAGGTGAGAGCCTGGGGAGGGGGAGGCGAAGGAGAGAGCCTGCAGGACTGTGGGTGGGACAAGTCTCTAGGCTTGTCAACGGGGACACCCCTGGCAGCGGCAAGGAAACAGTGCCCAGCGTCCCTGTGGCTCTTGGGGCCGCAGCTGAAGATCTACTGCAGGGTTTCTTTCTAGTACGGCCTAATGCCCTGGCATCAGAATCAGCTCAGAATGCCTCCTCTGAGGCTCCATACAGTGAGAAGAGCCACCTCCCAGAGTCTCCAGACCCCTGCCACGAAGGCAGGAAGCCTAGTGTGTCTGGGGCTGACCCGAAGAGCTGCAGCAGTGATGATGGCAGCCTGGCCTTGCCTCTTGGCGCTCTAATCCCAGCTGAGGTGACCAGCTTCCCTGGGGGCCTACAGAGCTCTCAAGCACCTGTGCTGGCTGTGGATCAGTCAGACCTGGAGCCCAGAGATGCACACTCCTGCCCCTCCCTACCATTCGAGTTGTCTCCCATGCAGAGCTCTGATGAGGAGGAGATAGAGAGTGAAGACTACTCTGAGGACCAGAGATTCTACCAGCACCTTCTGCAGATGGCCAAGCTCTCCAGGAGGCAGCAGGACCTGGAGCTGCCTAGGAGCTTGCAGGAAATGCCATGCAAAGACACTGTCAACATGGTCTGTTGCATGGCCCCTGAGCCTTTCAGGATATCTAGTGAGGGTGAGCATGAGGCCTTCAGAGCCATGGAGAGGGACTCGAGGCTTCTGTCCTGGGGGCCGCAGCTGCTGGAACACCCTCAGGAGGTGTCCTGTGCCCCTGCAGAGAAGGAGGTTCCACAGCAAGCCTACTGCCAGCCAAGCAACAGTCCTCTCAGGCAGGGGATAGTCGAGCTGGGTTTCCACAGAGGGCTTGCTCTAAAGCCAGGCGATACACAGCTTCTCAACCAGGTAGGCGTCTTCGCGAGTGGGGCCTGAGGCTTCAGGCCAGGGAGAACGTGGCAGGGAGGGAGCAGGTGGAGTCCATGTCTTACCACAGCCCTCAGGTTTGCTTTCTTCTTATTTACCCTGCCTTAGTAACTATGGATCCCTTTACCCAAGTGGCTGTCTTGTGGGGCAACGTGTATTTCAGGTCTCTACCATCCACAAGATAGGGCTTTTCCCTGGATATATCTCTCTTCCCTAGATCTAATTGTTAGTTCATGGGTGGTTCACATGCTTTGATCAGTTTTCAGAGTGGGCAAGGTGGCGTTGGTGCTGGTGATCACACAGGATGTAGACACCTTCTGGGATTTGTGAATTCTTCTGGGGAAGGGTCCTTCCAAATTAGCACCCTGCATCAAAGCTGTGGCCCTGTGCCTTCTTGGAGGCATGCAGAGCTGGAGAGTTAATACTCTCATGAGGGACTGAGGCACACAGTGTTTCGTGCTGTTTAAGAAGCTGTGTCTGCTCCTTTCTTTCCTCCTGGCTCCTCAGAAACCAGACTGCTGACTTGTGTCCTGCTTGTGCAGACCCTATTTGTGTCTTTACTTCCTCCCATGCTGGGGTTTGCCGAGGGACTGGGCTTGCCCTGTCATTCTAATCTTTTGTCCCTGTGAGAGTCACCATAATCTTCATTCAGATGAAGTCAAGTTGGATCAGAGACCATGGAGATCAGTCCGAGTTTCCCTGGCTATTTTGCTCTGGCCCAGCTGTGGCTTTACCCAGTTCCCTCTGGTTCCTGATTGCTGACGTGTACGGTTCTCTGTTAGCTTTAATAACCACTATAGTACTATAAATATCAGATAAGCTGCAGATTACCCGCAAGTTTTAATTAGCCCAATGGCAGCAAGTTTATCTTTTCTGAGGGACAATGCTACAGCACAGCCCCGCACTCAGAGTTAATGGCCATCTACAGAAGACGATCAGCCAGGGGCCAGGAATGTATAATTTCCCTGCTAACCACTGATTTAGTAAAGGCCCAGGAGAACAAAGGCCTCAGCACGCCTGTCTTCCTCCCTCAGGCCCCCAGCACGTTCGCAAATTAGCCAAGTTAGGAGTCTGTAATTTTCCATAAATACAGTGTGGGAAGGATTTTGCTTGCTGATATGCTGGGGCTGGTTGGAAGGGCTAAAGGCAGGAGGGGCAGGACCAGTTTGCTCCTAGTTCACTTAGAGAAGCTTGGTTTTGTTTTTGTTTTTCTGCTGCAGTTGTCTTGCTGGCCCGGTGGCTTTGGATAGGGTTCTTGAGCTCAGCAGCCTGTTTGTTCAAGCGGGGAGCGTGGCTGGTGGCAGAGCCTGCCTCGGAGGGCTGTCATGCAAGTGCAATGAGACATTACTCAGTGGTAGTCAGGCATTTTGGCTAGTTATATGTATCCCTGACAGTGACATTCTGTAAGTGTCCAGATGATTGGGGCTCTAGAGGCTCAGGGATGGTTGTCACCTCCTCTATCAGCCAGGCTTCTGATGCCCTGGGCTGCGGCTATAGCTGAGAAGCTGGCCAGTCTGCACTTCCTCAGCCTGACCTCATCTGGGGTCCTTTTTCCTCAGTTCCTGTGGGATTAGAGAGAAATAGAACTTTTGCTTTACTTTATACATCTTAAGTCTGAGAAATGAAGAGCTCCTTGTAAGCTGTCCCCAGAATACCCTTTGGGCCGGCCCGTGCTTCTGAGCCCAGGCAGTCACAGCAGAAATCCCAGGAATGGCAGCATCCCAGGATGCCCGGGTAGCCTGGCCTCTCGCATAGGCCCCTCCCATTCATCATCTCCTCTGAGCTGCTCAGTAAACCTTCCCTGGAGGTTTACAGCACCCGCCCCCTTCGTCTTGCAGATGTAAACTTGGAACCCAAGAGCCTGTGGTCGTGCACTTTCTGGGCCCAGGCTGGTTCTTTCCCAGTCCTGGCTGGCAGGAAGCCTTTGTGACAGCAGTTCTGAAGTTCGCTCCATCCGCTGCAGCCCCTTGACGGGGCTCTTCTTACCCACCTTCCTCAGCAGCAGAGAGGGGAGAGAGTTCTTTTATTGTTCGTGCATTTTAATTAAAGTAATAGAAGTCCAGAGTAAAAAAAAAAAAAATCCCAAACCAAGTCAAATTGTACCAAAAGGCCTATCACAAAGCACAGCAGTTGTCCGGGGTGCAGAGCCTCCCCAGAGCCAACCACTGTTGTCTGGTGTTTGCTTCCTTCTTTGTCAGGAGTATGCTGAGATCGCCTTTTCTGCATTCATCAATTTTAGACTTCATCTGCTGAGAGTTCTCATGCTGTAGATGAGGGTTTTGTCTGCATCCCTCTCCCGCATATTTCCTTCCGAAAGGAGAGCAGAGCCCCATGGAGCATCTGCCAGATGTGTGGCAACTGTTTTTGTGGGATAGCATTTGAGTTATGAGAATCAGGAAACAAGCCTGTGATTTCTCACACAGTTGGCACAATGGTAATTTCTGGATGTTGTGTTCCATTAGCAGCCTCCAAGTGGAGGTGGTTTAAATTTGAGTGGGCAGGATTTAGATGTTTTATTTTTGTATCTGTCTCCAACACATTCAGAACCGCATAGTTTCTTGGGTTTGTAACAGGATGTTTTCTGTTACCCAGGCTCTGGGTTCCTCATTAGCCCCGATCCAGGTTCCTCTTGGGGGCCTGGCTCCCTTACGAGGCTTTGTGGATGCCCCACCCTCTGGTCTTCGAGGACCTCAAAACGTGAGTCGGGGGAGCTCTGCAGAGTCCGGTCAGCTTGGAGAAGTCCCGCTGGTGAGTATTTCGCTGGTATGCAGTGTGTGGTCATTGCCAGGCCTCCTGTGTGCACGCTGGAGTCAGGGCCCATAGAGGAAAAGGGAATAGGCTGAGCCCTCAGCACTCAGGATCGGATGCAGGAGATGAGTCACACCTGTGTGATGCTGAACGTGAACCCTGGCAGTAGAGGACAGATCACAGCAGACGGCCACCGAGCTGATTTCCCTGTTCACGTAGTCAGGCAGTGGGAGTTGAAGTGTGAGCCAGGGTCTCTAGATCAGCTCCATAGACAAGAGGGCACTTGGAGTGGGAGGCGTCTACGTGGAGAGTAGAGGAGATTCCAGGGCCTTCGGTAAGTCATCCTCTTGATTTTTCTTCTCTATTTTGAGCCTCCACAGGGTTTCAAGACTTCGGCTTATACAAAGGGTCCCTTGGGCGCCATGCACGAGAATAAGAACACTCTCAGCCTCTTGGCTTTAGGGGAGGAGATCATTGAGGATGAGGAGGAGGAGAGTGACAACCAGGTAACGAAGTCCCCTCCCTGGGGTAACAAAGTCCCCTCCCGGGCCTACAAACTTTCTGTACGATTTTCTGTTGAAAAAATTGGTTTGCTCTAGTAATCTATGTATGATGTAAAATTTGCTGTTTTAATTCTTTAAAAAAATTTTTTTTGCAATACTGGGTACCAAACCCAGGGCTTTCACACTGAGTGACATCTCCAGCCCCCTTTAAAGATTTTTAAATTTAGAGGCTGGGGATTTAGCTCAGCAGCATAAGCGCCTTCCTTGCAAGTGTGCGATCCTGAGTTCGATCCGTGGTACCGATAAAAACGAAAAAGACAAAAAAAAAAAAAAAAAAAGAAGATTTTTAAATTTAAAATAAAATTTTAATTTAATTTAATTTTTTTGTTTTGTTTTTGAGACAGTGTCTCATTGGTCGTTCCGGCAAGCCTTGAACTCACTGCGTAGCCCAGGTTGGCCTCAATCTCATAGTGATCCTCCTGCCTCAGCCTCCCAAGTGTTGGGATTGTAGGTGTGCACCACCACACCTGGCCTAAAATTTTTTTATGATGAGACAGGATTTTGCTAGGTTACTCTGTTGCCTGGGCTAGGCTTGAACCTATCTTCCTGCCTCGGCCTTCCGGAGTGCTGGGATTGCTACCCCATCAGCCATTTTAACTATTTTTAAGTATACAATTCAATGATACTAAATACCTTCATGATGTGGTATAACCATTTCCTCCTCCATTTCCACAAGTTGGTCATAATCTCGTATAGAAACTCCCTCCCTGTTGGGCATGGTGCTACATACCTGTCGTCCTAGCGCCTGGGAGGCTGAGACAGGAGGAGCACCATGACTTTGAGGCCAGACTAGGCTACATAGTCAGTTCAGTGCTAGCCTGAGCTATACATAGTGAGACCCTGTCTCAAAAAAAAAAGAGTGAGAGGGTACTAGAAATGTAGCTCAGTGGACCAGGGCCTGCCTGGCAGGCACAAGGTTGAGTTTGATATCCCTTACAAAACAAAACAAACAACAACAACAAAAACCCCTCTGTATGCATTAAACAATTCCCCTACTCTCCAGCCCCCGGTAACCTTCAGCCTAGTGGAAGTCTCTGTGAATTTGCCTGTTCTAAATATTTCGTGTAAGTGGAATCATACAGTACTTTTCCCTTTTGTGTCTGCTGTCTTGCATTTGGCATATTTTCAAGGTTCGTGTTGTAGATTCCTTTAATTCTCTTCGTTCCTGTTTTTATTCGTTGTTGTTTTGAGCCGAGGTCTCCCTGTATAGCTCAGGCTGGCCTTGAACTCACTACGCAGCCCAGGCTGCCTCAGACCCACAGTGATCCCCGCTCTCTGCCTCCGCCTTGCAATGCTAGCTTAGAGGCCTGTGCCTCCGTGCCCGTTCTCTTCATTCCTCTTGAAGGGTGAATGATATTCCACCACATTTATACTACATTTTGTCTGTCTACTCATCTGTTAATGGGTACGTGGCTTGATTCCACCTTTGGCTGACCTCTGCGATTAAAAAAAAAAAAGCAAAATTGATTGTTGCCTACAGTTTCATTTCTTTTTTCTTTTTTCATTTCTTGATCAGTCTTCTTGATCAGCCTGAGTCTGGTCCTGAATTCAAGTCAAGGAGCCTGTTGGCCATGTGCCTGGCATAGAGCAGTGTTCACGCCGGGTAAAGGGCTGCTTCGTGGCACCTGCTCCGAAGCCCTGCCTGAGCCCAGGCTGTAAGCTCGGCAAGACCCCGCTTCTCTCTCTGCATGTCCCTCACCTGGGCTGGGCACAGATTTACCTAATCCCATGATCATTTTTGCTTCTAGAGTGTTCGCAGCTCCAATGAGCTCTTTAAGAACCTGCACCTAGATCTGGGGTCCCTGGAAGGAAACTTTGAATATGAGGTAAGAGCCTGCTGGGAGATTGCTCCTGCCTTCTGAAGACTTTCCGTTTGTTATTTGGAAAAGTAACCCTTTTGTCCCAGTCCCATCCAGGATTTTCAGGGTCCAGAAAAGGAGCAGGGAATCCATTTACTTACTCATGTATCACTTTTTTCAACAAAAACCATTCTCAAATGTTCATGTGTGAGACACTGCACTAGGTGCTGTAGGACCTGTGAACATGAAGAAAATCTATGCCATCTCAGATTCCACATTCTCACAAACTTGGGGAGCAGAAATTACTTATCTGGACATCAGGAGAAACTTGGTAGAAGAGATAAGTTTTGACCTGGTGTTGACAAGTAGCTGAGATTTAGACATAGGAGATATGAAGGAGTCTAGGCAGGTGAACAGCTCGAGCAAAGATTCGAGGCCCGAAAATTGCAGAATGTGGATGGGAATAGCTTCTGGAACCTCTTCCTCTGTTCTAGTCCCTTTTTCTGAAGTCTGTCCTCTGCTCTCATGAGAATGTTCTTTATAAAGAAAACAACAGCAAGACTCATCATGCTTTAATGCCTACAACCTCCAGTGTGTATTTGTACTTGGAAAGGAACATTCTTTGTCTAGCGTCTGACTTATTAATTTTTAAACAACTGAAATTTCTTTATTCCCAAAATATTTTTACAGCCAATGTATCATGAAGTCAATGAGTTAGACTTACACAAATATTTAAATACTAGCTGTAGGCTCAATCAGTTAAATTTTTCACAGAGCTGGTATATCAAATTCTTTTACATGCTTTAAACACCTTAGAATGAAACCAGTCACTCACACCTAATAAATTCTAATAAACGATCACAGAACAGGTCAGTAAAACACAAGTGCTGTTATCATAGATTTTGGTTTTAGTTACCATCAATTTAAATTCGTTGCATTATTATACCTTATTCTTTCTCTTCTTTTCCTTTTCTTTTTCCCCCGATACTGAGGAGTGAACCTTGGGAGCACTGAGCTACATCCCCAGCCCTTCTTATGTTTTTTTATTTTGAGATAGAGTCTAGCTAAGTTGCCCAGAGTGTCTTTAAATTTTGATCCTTCTAGCTCTGTTTCTTACAAGATTATAGTCATATGCTGTCAAGCTTTGTCCCTTATTACTTCTGACTTGTTTTTCTTGGTGTTCAGCTCACCTTCAGAGCCAGGGGACCGTCTCAGGCCAGCTGAGGTTCCAGATGTGGGCTGAGACGCTCTGATTTGGTTCCTGAGACCCAAGCCATGGCTGGGCCTCCCGAGGTGACACAGTGCTACCTATTGGGCAGCAGGACCCTCTTCTTAGATTTTTGCCTGGTAGTGCAGGAGCTGTCCAACTTTTTGGATTTACACGGTCAGAGAAGTTTCAGTTGTGACTTTAATCCTTTCTACCAGATGCACACTTATTTCTGAGTGTCCCATCTGTACTGTTGATCCGATATATGTCTACTTTGCAATGACTCCTTCTGAGCGGGTTAGTCTGGCTGGTGCCTCAGAGGCCTCCATTCTATTTGGTTCCCTGATGTGATGACTTTGTTTTTCTCTCATCCAGCAGAGCTGCTCTGTTGTGCATGTAGGGGAGTAACTTTGAATAGCCATGAGGGTGTCAGGCAGACTTACTTGCTTTTGGAGGAAGAGGATACTTTCTTACAGACCAAGCAAGTCGAGGGTTTGGATTCTGCCCATTCATGTCTATATCTGAGCTCCAAGCCCACGGCTTGGAACTTAGGAAGTGCGTGGGGGCATTTTGTTAAGCAGTGGAGAGTGGATGCTGGAATGGAGGAGCTGGCTGGGATGGACTGTGGCAGGTTGTGTGGTATTGTTTTCTTCCTTTGGCTTCCTCAGGTTCCTGGTGAGGTGGTGCTTTGTCCTTGCTGTCAGCTGTTAGACTGAAGATCCCGCTGTGGATTGGTCATAACTCACTCTGACCTTGAGCTACTTAATTTTTACTTTGTGAGGAGTTACTGATGTCAATAAAAGAGGCATTTTCATCTTCGTTATGTCTTGAATTTCCTGAAGGTTTTCTTTCTGATGATTATGTGCTTGCAAGAGGGGATGGGGTGGGAACTTACAAACATTTTGTAACCTCTTTAATATAAATAGGCACCTCAGTGTGATGGGGAAATGTCTGGAGTGGGCGGTGTTAAATACACCTCCCACCCCGTCTCTAGCAGCCCAGCAGATTGGGTTCTTTTTGCCACATGGGGTGTGGAATTCACATGTTCTAATCCCAGGCAGGAATTAGGACTTTTTCTGCTGGGGAAAACTGGTAATGGGTTGAAGGATGGTTTTGGAGCAGGCGAAGCTGCTTCAGCTGGGCCCTGGCCTTTGAGGATGCCTTTCGGCTCAGCTTATGACCCGATCCTCTGAGCTGTCCTGCTTTGCCTTCTGTCGGGCATCCCAAAGAGCCGTTTGTGGAGCGTTCCTTCCTGGCTTAGCTCTGCCCTGTCTTGCTGTGCAGTCACTTTGCTCATGATTCCAAGAGAGGGCAGTAGGATGGCAAGAACACATCTTTCCCTCTGTCTCTTTCTCCCTCCTCTTCTTTCTTTCAACCTAAATCCTTTTCTAGTGTATCACAGCCCCAGAAGGGAAAGGTTCAGAGAACCAGTGCTGGAAATGCAGATGAACAAGATGGGAGAGGCGGAAGGGTGGGCAAAAAGGCCACCATGTGGTGCCTGGTGAAAAGCCCATCAGCAGATCAAAGGAGTGGGAGGGGGCCGGGGCTTAGTAATAGCAGAATGATGTCAGTGTGATTGCAAAGCGCTAACTACGCCAGGGAGCTGTGCAAAGAACTGAGGCCAACTGGGGAGGAGTGAGGCCTGGAAAATAAACTGACTGATGGTTGGCCTGGCAGGTGGTCTCCCCAGAAAGGTCAGTGCGTGGATGTGGTGTTCAGTCCCCCACACCATAGTAGACGTTCCAAGTCTTGTGTTCTGGGTAGGAAGTGGAGACTGTAGCCTTGAAGAGTACTGACTTTTGTGGGGTGGTTTATGTTTACTCCCTGCGGCCCCCCACTCATGCAAATGGTGGGACTTTGAGATTTGCTTTGTGAGGTTCAAGGACCTGGGGCAGTAGCAGCAGGAAACAGGAGCACGAGCTCAGAAGAGCTGAGGGCAAAGCTGGGTACCCACAGAGCCCAGGGTAGGAGACCATGCACAGGTGCCCTAGTGTGCATGGTAGTTGGGGACTTCAGGGCTCAGGTCTGGTGACATGCCAAGAAGCAGCAGCTGGGTGGAAAGAGATGGGCACGAGTCAGTTATCCTCAGCTCTGGCCCATCCATCTGGATGACTGAGTGCCCGTGTGAAATCAATGCATTCCCCACCTCAAGGCTGTCCTTTCCTGGGAGTTAGTTGACAAGGGTGTGGAGAATGCAGGGTCACTTATCTTAACACTCGCCATGTTTTAGTATTTAGGCAGCTAGGCAGACAAAGATCAGCCCTGTCATATGAAAAAAGTCATCTTTGGGTGCTTTGAGTTGTATTCAGAACCTCGTGCGTATTAAGTACACATGCTACTACCGAGACATGCCCCAAGTGAAAATCTTCTTTTGAAGAATTAAAACTTGAACACTTGTTAGACTGGGCCAAATGTTATCCTGTATTCTGGTTGTATTCTCACTGATTTTATGAGAATGAGAATCTCTACCTGTATCTGATATTTTTTGATTTTTGATGTTACTTGATTTTCCATCACTTTGTAAAGTTAATAATTAACATTTGTTTGCTATTTTCCATTTAACAAGCGTCATAACTACTATATAGTCTAATCTCCGTGTGACCTTTACAAATAAATATTACATCTTCCTTTTGTAGTATAGAAAGAGAAACCTCCGTTCCTCTATCTGTACAACATACCCATAAACTCTTTTTTTTTTTTGGTGGTGATAGTGGCGTTGAGTATTGAGTGCAGGGCCTTTGTATTGAGCTACATTCCCAGCCCCTTTTAAATTTTTTATTTTGAGAAAGGGTTCCATTAAGTTGTCTAAGCACTTGACCCTGTGATCTTCCTGCCTCAACCTCACAGATGCTGGCTTGATTTTTTTTTTTTTTTTAAATCCAGCCAACAAGCCTTGATGGAGCATCTGTTATGTGTAAGAAATGGTACTGGACACATAGGGAGCAAACCTGGTAAGGGAAGCAGACCAGGAAGCCAGCAATTATAAGTATTATGGAAAGGATGGGGAAGGCTGATTTCAGGTCAGCTGGGGATCATAGAAGGCTTCCTGGAAGAGGTGATGTGAAGACCAGGGAGATTTGCCAAAATAGTGAGAGAGAGTGTGTGTGTGTGTGTGTGTGTGTTGAAGAATGTGTGTGGCAGGGCAGAGGGCTGTTGAGGGTTAGTGCATGCTTCGTATGTGCAAGACCCTGAGTTCTATCTACAGCAGCCCCCAGGCCTTCCAACCAAAAAAGCTCAGAAGAGTAGAAAAATAGCATGGTTTATCCACAGGCAGAAGAGAATGTGAGCCCAGTACCGGTGGAGGTGGACCATGGGAAGCAGGCAGGCGCTTGCCGGGCAGGGATGTGGGCTAAGTGAGAAGGCATGAACTCTACATTTTGGAGGCCATAGGTGCTGCTTGACACTTTCCTTGTCTCCTGGCCCACGGTCTGTTGCCTGGCAACCCTCTTGGGCCAAATTTTACTCCCAGCTTCAAGCCTTCCTTAATCCAAGATGAGCTCGAGTAGGACGGATTTACACAACTTGGTTTTTTTTTTTTTTTTTTTTTTTTTTGTCTTTTTTGTTTTTATCAGTATCAGTGATTGAACTCACGACTGCCTGCTTGCAAGGCAGGCGCTTATGCTGCTGAGCTAAATCCCCAGCCCCACACTACTTGTTGAGAGAAGGCATGTGGCTTGGCTCGCTAGACAGCCCTCTTCTACCCTTAGAAGCTGTCACTTTGGAGTCTGCAGGGCCCCACAGCCCAGTTGGGGAGTCCTTGCTGAGTTGTGATCGGTGCTAGGAGATGAGGCCTAGCCTCTGTTTGTCTGCAGAAGAGGAGCTGTTTCCCCTAAGCTCAGCTCAGGGGTCATGTAGATTATTTCCGTGTGATCATGGGATTCTTGGGAGGTGGGCAACACTGGCTACCTGCATTCTCCAAATCACCTTCTGCTTTCCGTCTAGGGATGAGTTGGGGCTGATGTCAGTGCCACCCCTGAATCTGGAGTTTCTTTGCTTTGGGCAGTAAAAGCTTATAATGAAGCACATCTGGGATGTTTTGCTTTTCTTGGGTGGGCCCAATTCCCTGAGGGAAAGATGTGTGTCTTGGTCATGTTTAGTTCCCCCACCCGGTGTTTGGCTCTCAGGAGGTGCTCAGTGGATGAACAAGTGGGTCTCATCTTTTAGTACGAGTTAACATTTATGGGAGACTTACTGGATGTTGGCACACACTGCTAAGTTCCTTAACTCACTGAATGAGTATTAACTCATTTAATCTTCCCCGCAACCCTGCGAGGCAGGCACTGTTACATCCTTATATGTTAGGGGAAAAAGCTGACGTGTGGGAAGCTTAGTCCATCCAGCATCATACATCTGAAATATTGGAGCCAAGATTTGAGTCTCAGTTGTCTGTCTCTAAAGCTGGGCTCTGTACTGCTTTCTTTTACTGCTTATCTTTTTAAAAAAAAATTTCATTTTAAAGATAGAAAATCCAACAAAACAAAACAGAACAAAACCAATCAAAACAATGCAGCAAAATTGGTACAGAACTTCAAAGCAGGGTACTAGGAAAACAATAATAGGTACCATCGTATATCTTGTTATCTTCACAATAGTTGTCCATTCCATCAGGTATAGCAAAATCAAGCTGAAAACAAAACAGAATAAAACCAATCAAAGCAGAATATTGAATAAAGCAAAACAATCAGAACAAAGCAAAATGGTGAGAACAACATTGGATTTCACAGGCAGGACCGAAGGAAATCCCCCATGTTTGCTATATTGCATCCTGTCATCTTCCCAAGAGATGCTCAGACCGCTGGCCCCAGGCCTGAAAAATCAACCAAACTACCAGCATTTATTTGCTTATGTACTTTAGTTGCTATCAGCGCAGCCTGTCCTCCAAACCAGCGGGTTGCTCACTGGGCCTGGGCGTGGAGTTGATTGATGCTCAGCCCCTGCGCTGGTAGGCTTCCAGGAGACACTGACTTTCCTCGTCCTGGAAGCTGCATGGCTTGCAAAGCTTTCCAGAAAACCTGGCTAGTAGCTTCTTTTTACTGCTTATCTTTACCATTTTTGAAGAGCTTGGGTTCGCTTGTCAGTAGGCTGCCAGATCTACGGGCCATGGTCATACCTTTGGACTGAGCAGATGCTTTACTAGTGTACTCTTATCAATAACTGACGTGTTTAGGATTTCTCCTTGGGCTGTTCTGTTCTTGACTTGTGTTAGTCAGATTTCTTTCTTTGTTTTTTTTTTAAATTTTATTTTAAAGATAATGAAACCCGACAACACAGAATAAATTCTGTCAAAACAGAAGTACAGAACTTCAAAGCAGGATAATAGGAGAACAACAAAGGCTACTGTACTATATCTTTATCTTCACAATAGTAGTCCATTCCATCAGGTAAAGCAAAATCAAACCAAAACAAAACAGAATAAAACCAATCAAAACAGAATATCGCTAGAGATGTTTCCAGAATTGAAAAAAAAAAAACCAGAACATCGAATAAAGCAAAAACGGTTAACCAGAACAAAACCAAACAGTGAAAACAATATTGGGCTTCAAAAACAAAGATTGAAGGAAATCCCCCATATTTGCTACAGTGCATACCATTATCCTCCCTATGGATGCGGATGCGCAGACTGCCAGCCCAGGCCTGTGAAGTCAACCACGCAATACAAGCACTCAGTTGCTTTTTGTTCCTCAGTTGCTATCAACTTTGCCTGTTCTCCTCCGAACCAGCTGGATGCTTACACGGGCGGTGGTGGTGGGAAGGTGGTGGTGGGGAAGGGTTGGTGATTCTCAGCCTGGAGGCCGGCAGGCTCACAGGAGGTGCTGTCTGACTTTTCCTGGGCTCACATGGCTTGCACATCACACCAGAAAGGCGGGCTAGTTGGCTTGCTGGTCAGCTCCTCCCAGTCCCAGCGTGCCAAATTTCTATTACTGTAATGAGATATCTGAAATAATTACCTTGTAAGACAGGTTTATTTTGGTTGACAGTTTTGGTGGTTTTGGTCTCTCGTCAGTTGACCCCTTTGTTTTGGGCTGTGGTGAGGCAGCCCATCATGGTGGGCACGGTTGGTAGAGCAGAATGGCTTACATCATGAACCAAGGAACACGGAGAGGCAGGCATGAGGTCCCACAGTCTCCTTCCAGGGCTCCAGGAACCTAAGGGTCCCCAACGGGGACCTGCGTCCTGCAGGTTCCTTCCAGTAGCTCTCTCCTGGGGACCAAACCTCGAGCACATGAGCCTTTGCGGGTCATTCCAGATCTAAACTATAACCCAGCATCGTGTTCCTTGTTTGAGTCTTCGGAGCAGAGAAGCAGAAAGTCTTGCACATCAGGAGTTCCGCCTGGCAGCCCACGTGTTAGTACAGGTGTTTCCTGAAAGGAAGTGTTTGCAGCCTGAACCCAGAAGACGGCACTGGCCAGATTTCCAGCGAAGGATTTTCTGCCTCTATTTGGGCCAACTTGAGAGAATTCAGTGAAAGCTGTCATAGATTTTTACTTGTTTTAAAGTGAAGTTTGTGTGTGAGAAGCAGGTGTGGGTGCGGTTCAGGTGTGCTGCCCGTGGCTCCTTTTACGAGACCCTGCTGAGTGGTAATTAGTAGATTAACAGCAGCCAGCGCTCTCCTCCTGTCCTCCCTGGTTTATGCCTAAACCATGCTTCCTCTTAGTGACAGGTCACACAGGAGTTGAAGGGCAAGGCCTTCCTGCCTGAATGGGGCCCCTTTAATGACATTCTCCTGGGGTACCCTCTGCTGGACTGGATGACACTTTTCAGAACTATGCTGTCCTTCCGTCCTTCTCTCCAGCCACATGCAGACCTGTGTCATGCTCTGAAGGGCCTCCCTGTCTCCTGGCCATCATAGGCATCTCCTCCAACAGAGCTCTCGCACATCTAATCCCATCATGACATCTGCTTTGCCAGGGACCCAAAGCAATGGTCCTGGACGGAGGATACTTGCAGGGTCCTCAGTGATCAGTTTGTGAAGGGAGCTTTTGGGGAGGCAGGGAGCCTCTTTGGGCTGCTGACTATGAAAAATGAAAGGTATAAATTCTGGACTTTGCCACCTTTCTCTCATGTGATTCCTCATCATCGTCTTAAATGAATCTTGGCTTCTCAGTTTGAGTCCCTTGGCTAATGGGGCTGGAGAGAGGCAGATTTATTACCCGAGGATGTGATAAATGATGGTGGAGCTGTGGGTCCGAGGCAGCAGCTTCCAAGCCCATCAGTGTTGGCCGTGGTCGATCGTCATAGAAATTCCAATGCAGTAGATCCAAAGGGGGCTGGAATGTGCGTTAGGTGTTGGAACTGTTGGGGTCAAAACTCAAACACTGCTCCATGGGAGTCACGAAATAACAGCTCCATCTTGTCAGATCTCTCTAAACTGCTTTTCTGTATTCCTCTCGTCCTCCTTTCTGATGTATTCTGTGGTCCCTAGGAGTCTCCAGGAACAAGTCCGCCTGCGAAGGATGTTTCTCTTGATTCAGATTCTGCCGGCCCCAGTACTCCTGGAAAACTCCTCAGCCAGGGTGCAGACGGTAGTCTGAGCAGTGCTGCTGGCAAGGAGCCGCAGGACAGAAGGTCAAGTGTTCGGCTTCCAGGAAAAGAAGACAATGACAAGAGCGATCCTGCCGCTTTCACATGTCCGGTGACCACCGGGATGGACCCGGAGGTCAGTCAGCTTGCCGAGGCCTCTAGAAAGGACTCTAAGGAGGACCTGATAGATGCAGGAGAGGAGGGTTCCATGAGGGAAGAGGCGGCAAAGGAGCTAAGGAAGGAGGCTCCTGCCCTAAAAGAGAGCAGATCGGAGGCTGGTGAGGTAAGTCGCTGCGCCCCAGGCACTTCCCAGCTGTAGCCCTCTGCTGTCTCTGGCCCTGTGCGGCTCTGGGTCCCCACATCTTCATTACTGAGTCAGGAGCATCATTCGCAGTCCTGTACTGGGCTGTCAGCAGCAGCCAAAGCCTTCATTGTGACAAATATACCCAGACCCAGCAGGCAGTGAAATCCTGAGCGAAACTGCAGACGTGCTGGTACTGGAAATTTCGAGCAGCAATGCGCCTTTCCATCGGCCCCTCCCGGGCTGCTCGTGTTCTGCTGGGTTCCTGTCTGCTTCCTCTTCCCCTTCCCTGCCTCCCCCTCTACTTCTAGATTTGGTTTGCTGCAGTCTGGCTGAATTGCTCTGTAGAGAGGGGTGTGTGTGTGTGTGATGATGGTACCATAGTTACGTTACAAGACTTTTTGGGGGGTTTCCCAGGGCCACTGCGCTGAGCCACGTCTCCAGTCATTTTTATATATTTTTTTTACCTTGAGACAAGGTCTTGCTAAATTGTTAAATTGCTCGAGCTGGGGCCATTGATGATCCTTCTGCCTCAGCTTTCCAGGGTGCTGGAATTCCGGCTAGTACGGAACTCATTATGTAGCTCAGGCTGCCTCAGGATCCCAGTGCTGGGATTACAGGCCGGTGCTGCCGTGCCTGGCAAGGACACTCTTCTCCTTGACTTCAGTGGCTCTTTATGAAGCAGCACAAGACATGAAAAGGTTGCTTTTATCCAATGAGGCCAGTGACCAAAGTGGACGGAAATATGGGAGTGGGGGCAGCCTTGGTAGTTTAGATTTTCCAATCCTTGGTACTCAGGGCAGATGGTGAAGGAATTCAGTTAGAGAACTTTTATCTACGTCCTGGAAAAGGTGCCCTTATTCCATGTTTTAAAGGATAATATCAAATTTCTGTATTGCGAACTTTCTAATCATCTCTAGTGACCTCAGCTCCTCTCACATGTGACACTAGATTGATTTGATTCTCGGGCATGGTTGTCTACACTCAGATGGGTCACTCGGTCCTGGCTGGGCATAGGAGAGAGCTGCTCTGTGTGTCTGGAGAAAATGGCAGGGCCTTTGCAGTTTTAAGAAGAGATGGATTTCAGTTTGGCCTGATGCTCTGTTCTGATCTGCTCTGGGGAATTTCTCTGTCTCCTTAGGACTCTGAGGTTAGTGAACTTATGAAGAAACCGCAGGTCTTGGGCCCCGTGGCTTCTGACTCCAAGTCCTTCCTTGGTCTGGTGAGTTTGTAATAAGAGGCAGAGACAAGAGCGTGGGAAAGTCCCCCAGGTTAAGTGATTTGTCTAGAATCTAGAGCTAGTCAGTGGGAAGTTAGGGCTCAACTAAGGCTCACCTGTGGGTCTTGTTAGCTGCCATCTCTAACCTGTTAACTACAGATAAGGTTACCTACCAATGTGTTTGCTATGAGAAGAAAGTGAGGTAGACAAGTGAAACATGAGTCTTTCAACAAACATTAAGTAAGTGTTAGCTGTTATTACTCTTACTGTGGGCAAACTGTGAGCTCATGTGAGCTGCTTCTAAGTTCTCGCAGGAGTGTTACACAAATCTAGTTGTGTTTCTGGGATCACTGAGCTATGAGGCAAGTCCCTGGCTTTTGGCTGAGAGGGCTGCTGTGGATTCATTTTTAAAGTTTTTTGTCCTGGAGTGCAAGCATCCGTGTTTTTTTGTCTCAAACCCTCTGCCCAGCTTGCTGTATCCAATTCCCTTTGGCAGCTCTAGGTCTAAGGGGAGTAGTTCAAGTACTTTTTGGCCAAGCATTGGTCCTATATACCTCTCTCTATCTTCCTGGAGGATACAGATCAAAGGCAAGAGATTAGTGGGAGAGGCCAGGGATTAGCACTGGTGATGTGGGGTTGGGGAGGACACAGGAGGGCAGAGGAATTAGGGGGCTGCAGCTCCAGTCCTGCACTGAGCCATGGGCTTAGGAGGCAGATGGCAGCTACATTATGTGCAGTAGAATTTATTTTATTTTGTGTTAAAGAGGATAAAATAGAATAAAACCAATCAAAACATACCAGTGTAAGAGGTACAGGACTTTGAAAATTACAAAATCAACAATAGTCACCATGATGCCTTTTGATGTTTTCAGAATAGCTGCAGATAACTTTGAACATAGTAAAAATCAAACAAAACAGAATAGAATAGAAACAATAAAAACAAAACAATGAATGCAATAAAGGACTTCAAAGCCAGCCAATAGTAAATCCAAAAATTGCTACCATAATATATTTTGTTATCTTTGAAATAGCTTTTCCTGCCATCGGATTTGATATAATAAAACAAAACAAAAGAGAATAAAACCCCACCCAGCAAAACAGTGGAAACGATATAGGACTTCCAAAACAAGACCATAGGGAATCAATAATGGCTGCAACCCTCAGAAGGAGGTCCCCCTGTCCTCTGTAGTGTGTGGCTCTCCTCTGAACCTGTGATCAGACCATTTCCCTAGACCTGCAGTGTTAGTGAAATAACAAAGCAGCACAAGCATCCAATTGCATTTTAGCTACCATCACAGCCTGTATTTCTTAAGGCGCGAGTTGGGGCCTGGGGGAGGTTGTCACTTCTGGTTCGCCAGCCCAAATGCCAGAAGGGGCTGGGGTCTGGCTGTTCCAGTCCAGCAGCAGCCCGCTCATGGCGCTGGTTCCCAGACTCTGTAGTAGAATTTAAACTGGAAGATAGATGTCACTAAAAGAGGAAACCTCACAAACTAGGGAGGGAAGCAAAAAATCATTTTGGCAAAAACCATCGATGAAGAATAAATGGATCACGGAACTCCCAGAAGCTAGGAACCTGGCCCTTCCGAAGCAGCAGTGGTGAAAGGTGCCCATTGCATTTTCTCCCTCTGTGGGATGGAGGGAGAAAGCCATGAACAGCAGGACTAGTGCTTGTCTGGGCGTCTGTCCATTGCTCAGGGCTGAGGAGAGAACCATCCCCATCAGCATGCTGTTGGACAGCAAGCCTTCACACAGCCTGGCAGGATCTTGAACTCGGAGGGAGGATGCCCTGTGACAGCCAAAGGGCACTGAGGAGCCGGCCCTGGATTAGGCACCTGCTGCCTGTCCCAAAGAGGAGTCTGTAGAGAAAGCACAGTTAATTAATTTCCATCTTCCAGAGGGCTGCCTGGAGGGGAAGGGGCAAGGAGCCCACCAAACCTCATTTCCAAGCTGCTCACGGGTTTTCTGGTACTTGTGGTGCCCTGGTTTGTCACTGATGGCGAGAGACAGCTGGACAGGAAATGCAGCACATGTCCTGGAAAGAGCTTGGGGTTTGGAGTCAGCCCCAGGGTCCATCTGACTCCCAACCCTTTGCTTGTCAGCTGTGTGACCTTGAGCACATTGTGTGCGCTCCCCAGCCTGCGTCCACATCTGTGAGTCTGAGTCTCACAGGATTATTTTTTGCCCATGATTTTATTGTGAAAAATTCAAACATCTGGAAAATTTAAGAGAATTTTACAGCAAATACTCATGTACTACTTAACATTTACCCGGAACATTTTTCTGTACTTCCTTTATCACATGCCTGTGCTTCTAGTCATAGTGTTATTTTGAAGATTAAATCAGCAGAGGTCCACATGTTTGTTTAGCACAGTGCCTGGCATGTAGTGGATGCTTTTCTGCAAGATTAGGGGCACAGGAGAGGCCTGGGTGAGCCCCCTAACAGGGACAGCGTTGACTTCCCTATCTCCATTGTCTCTAGGACTTTGGTTTTCACAGCCGGGTCACAGAGGGCCTGCTGGATGGTGATATGCTTTCCCCGGTCCTGGGTGGAGCCCATAGGGAGGTAAGTCTCTCTGGGTGACAGGCAGGGCTAGGGCCTCATTTTCCATGGCATCCACTTTTGAGATAGCCCGTAACTGATTCCTGCCCATCCTAGCATGCTCTTCTGAGTGTTCTTTCCCTTTTAATTCCTTAAGGCCTGGCCCCCACTGTACCTTTGATGGGACTTCTGATGCTTCCTGCACTGCTACTGTTTTGAATTAAACCATTTTTTCTTTTAAATTTATCCATTTATTCATTCATGCAGCAACTGAGGCTTGATCACACCTGCTTATGTGCAAAGCGTTGTGGAGATTGTGGATTTTAAGGCATTGCCAGCTCGGCCCGTGCATCCCTTCCGGCTTCATGCTCAGCCCCCCTGCACCCTCTGTGGCAGCTGAGCCTGCTGTTCATCCTTCCTGAGCACCGCTTCCACCTCACTGCCATGGGCCTGCTGCTTCCTTCCCCAGCCAACCTTCTGGGCTTGGAAGCCCCCTCTGAAGCTACCTCCTCCCAGTAGGATGGATTGTTTCTTCTCTTTGCTCCCTTTAGGGCTTATGGCTTTGTCTTATGGCTGTGTGTCTTCCCTCCCAGATGTAAGCTCTGTGTGGGCACAGGGGTGACTGAAACAGAGATCCTGCCTTTGAGGATCCTGAGACAAGAGGTTGTCTTTTTTCCTCCTTTCTGGGTTGAGTAGAAGGATTCTGGTACACGGTCTCTGCAAGTTTAGGGAGCATTGGCTTTGAGGGAAATAGAATGATGTTGGGTGAAACAAACAAAATGTTTAGTATGAACGCAGCCTTGGAGACCTTAATGAAACGCTGAGACAGGCTAGAGCTTCCAGGTTGATTGCATTTGAGTCCTGCATGTTCCTCTGTTCTGTGGCTGGTGGCTTCCTGGGCTGCCATCCATCTAATCCGCTTCTGCTAGACTTTGGTCACCCTATTTGTGGTACTGGAGAGACATAAAAGCACAAACAAGGGCAAATTGGAAGTCAGGAAGAGTTTGGGCAGGTAAATTGCTAGGTACCTTTGACAGCAGGTAAGTGGGAGAGCCACTGAGTTGGTAGGATGCGGGCGGTAGGTTGGAGTAAATTCAGTTGTTCTGGCTCCAAAATTTGCCCAGTATTGGAATTCTTTGGAAGCTTTAAAACTGGCAAATTTCTCGGTCTTACCTAAGACCTAATGGGGCCAACAGCTTCTGTTTTGGCTCATACTTGGTATAAAGCAGTCGCAGAGCTTGACTTGGCTTTGGTCCCCGCCTCCCCAGCCCTGGCAGAATCCCTGAGTTACGCCTGAGACCAGGCTGTTGAATGGTAGACAGCGCTGGATGCTCAGGTTGGCTGACACGAGAGCTTTTAGCAGGGCTCAGCCTTTAAGGCTCTCTTTGTTTTCAGGGTGTGTGTGTATGGGGTAGGGGGCTGAGCGGGCAGGTGGAACTGGGGAATGAGCAGCCTCTCCTTTGTGGGACAGACAGAGACCCCTAAGTGCCATCTCCTTGTCCTTCCGATAGGCTCAGGTCCATTTTGCTGTATTGTCCAGTTCTGTTTCAAGGACAGAACTGCAGCAAAGACTTAGAACTGAGCTAGCCTAGTTTTTGTTCATTGCGGGTGCAGCTCCATAGTGGAGCTTTTGCCTAGGATGCCCAAAATCATCCTGGGTTCAATCTTCAGTATCACAAGGGGAGAAAAAATAAAAGCTCTGTTGAGATGCATAGTGGTACCTTGGTTCACAAACTTGATTTTTTCCTGACTCAGATCACAACCTGAATTGGACAAAAACTTAAAGTCAATGTTAGGTTCAATACTGACCTCATGGGGAAATTTGGTTCGGGTCTATCCAGTTCATTCTGTGACTAAGGTCGTGGAGAGAATTGAGTTTGTGAATGGTAATTGAGGATGGTTGTGAGTTTGAAACCAGCCTGGGCTACAAAATGAGCTCAAAGCCAGCCTGAACTGAACAGGGAGACCTGTCTCAAAAAGACCAAAGGGAAAAAGAAGTGTACAGTTTGATACATTTGAATGTTTAAATTAAAAAAAAAAAGCCATGTTGCCACTAATCCTCTTCAAAACACTTCTGCTCTTTTTGAATACATTTACCGGATCATTCCTTTTGTTTTGTTTTGTTTGAGACAGGGTCTTACTATATATGCAGTTCAGGCTGGCCTCGGACTCACAGTGATCTTATTGCCTCAGCCTCCCAAGTGCTGGGATTACAGGTGTGCTCCACCATGCCTGGCTTATCTGATCATTCTTGCCAGGAGAATTCTTGTGAAGAAGCCATTCTACAAGTCCTTTTTCATGAGTGTCCTTCATTACACTAACATGGACTCCTCAATGCCTGAATCAATTCAGAATATTTATTTTCATGGTCATTTTGACTTTAAAGAAGAGCCGGAAGTCTCACAATGGCAGATCCAGTGGATAATTACTGTGAACATTTAATTAATATAAGGTGATCATAAAATACAGAGAATATATACATTTAAAAATTTATTCCTGGGGCTGGGGATTTAGCTCAGCAGCATAAGCGCATGCCTGGCAAGCGTGAGGCCATGAGTTCAATCCCTGGTACCCCCTGCAAAAAGAAAATTTATTCCTGTAAAAGACACATTGCCAGTAGCTCTCTTGAAAATACTCAAAACACTCCCCTTGCTTTGAGCACATTTGTTTCATTGTTCTTGGCAATGTCTTTTACTGTAATAAATTTAAAAATTTTAACTATTCCCTGTATCTTTCCATCACCCCTTCTATAGTATATTCCCTTGACATCATCAAGACAGTTAAGATAATGAATTACAAGCATAGTGAATTTCAGAATCAATCAGAGAAGTGATTTATGTGATTATAAAGTCATTTCGGATAGCACTGGCCCAAGTCCTCTGTCCTGCAGCCTTTGTCCATAGGCAAGGACTATGATTTTCTATCAATTTTTTTTCTCATGAGACAGGCTCTCACCATGTAGTCCAGGCTGGCCTTGATCCTCCTGCCTCAGCCTCCCAAGTGCTGGGATTACAGTGTGTACCCCCACGCCGGGGGGCTCCATTAATCTTTTTCATGTGCCTTTCTAGAAATTTTTCTGTATATGTATATATTTAGCTTGTATGTGTAACTTCCCACAAAGGTTGAGATTGTATTACCAGAAATGCCTGACTATACGTACTTTAAATTTGTGAATTGACCCTTGACTTATTTCTGAATTCTTTTTTTTTGTACTGGGAATCAAACTTAGGATCTTGCTCTTTCCAGGCAGGAGCTTATGCCGCTGAGCTGTATCCCCAGCCCCTCTGAACTGTTTCATGTACATGTCCCTTATTGTTTTTAGTGTTTGCCTGGACATCTGCTGTATGAATGTACCACATTTTATCTAGCTGGGACCTGGATTTAAATAAAACTCTGGAGCTGAGTTAAAGAAGGGCATGCAGTGTCTTGAACATTCTCAGGCCAGAGGCTGAGGGCATGGTTGCCGTCTCTCCTTTATATTTTCTTTATTTTTTTCCTTTCTTTATTTTTGTTTCCTTTTTTTTGGTACTGGAATCGAACTCAGGGCTTCACATTTGCCAGCCAGGTGCTGTGCTGCTGAGCCCTATCCCTGGCCCCTATCTCTCCTTTCTGAAGAACGCGTCGCTTCCTTTTCAGGGGAATGAAGGTCTGAGGCCCAAGTAAACCTCCACTCAGAGAGCCCTCCGTCTGGGTGGACTCTGGGGTTTCCGTTTTCTCTGGCTGGGGAGCTCGTTCAATTTCCTGTAGAAATATAGGGATGGAACAGGAAGGGATGAGGCAGAGAGCCTTGGTCTGCCTCCCGCCTCTGTGCGCCTGCCTTTTTGCTCATAGTGCTTGATGTGTAACCCTGGAGTCCTTTCTGACCCAGCGCTCTGTCCCTCAGTTACTGTGATCACCGTACTTTGTTAGTTTGTTAAATGGGGTTGGCCTGTATCTATCTTTCTTTTTTTAAATTTTCCTTGAAAAGCGAGAGAGGGAGATAGTTGATGGGGCCGGTGTGGTTTTCAGGGGGAGCGTCGGGGGTGCACAGCCCCGTCACTGTCTGCGGGCTCTGCCCGGGCTGATGCAATGAGGAGTGGCAGCCCTGGCAGGGAGCCCTTCTGCCGCGGGCACCACGAGGTACTTGCAAGCGGCATTGCTATTTTTAATGTAATTGCGGGGAGCTGGGTGTTAGCTCAAGCCATGCCCTTCCTCGCCCATCCAGATGGCAGTGTTGGCCACAGCTGCGGGGCTCAGGCTGCCGTGGAGAGGTGTGGGGGTGGTGGGCACAGGGCTGGGGACCCTACTGGGGAAGATGGAGTGAGCTGTCTGCGCCCCTCCTCTCCTGTTGACCTTTGTGTCCCAGAACAGACGGGGCTCCTGTTGGGGTGACAGAAGGAGGACGGGTCCTGGAATGGGGACTGGCACTGGCAGAGGCTTTTCCTTTTCTTTTCTTCCTTTTTAATTTTGTTTGTCTCAGGCTGGAGGAGAGGCATATGGGAAGAGGAGCTAACTTCTCTGGCCCGGGAATCGGGCTTACGCACATGATCTCATTTGATCCTCTGCAGAAGCCCTGGGCGCTGTGGCTCCCTGTCCGACCGCACAGTGGAGAAGCAGGCTCTCCAGGCAGGAAGTGCGCGTGGAGGGAGGGCCCCAGACTGACTGCACTGCTGTAATCTGTGGGAGCTGCTAGAAGCATCGCAAATAGTCTTTTTCTCTTTTTAAAACCAGTTTGCCAAATTTGCCTAGATACCCAAGCTTTCAAATAAGATTTGGGGTTTATTTTTGAATGGCTGTTACGATCCCTGGCTGGGAGTTGGTGTCAGTGTTCTGGGATGGGACCCGTGTCCCCAACAAGCCCCCAGTGGAGCAGTAGTGGGATGCTAGTTCTGCCTTTTTTCCAGGTGCCAGAAGGCACCCCTTCTCTCGCCCCACCGAGACCCTTGCGCCCCAGGAGCCTTCCTTTCTGATGTACTTTCCAGCTGCCCCCCGTCCTGCCTGTTTAATTTTAGTATCATTGGCCCTGCTGGTCAAGCCCTCGGTGCATCTGTAGGGTCACGGATTGCTCTGCTTGCTCTTTGCAGCCAGCACTGCAGGCTTCCAGCAGCAGGAGGCAGGTTTAGTTTTTCTTGTGTGTTTGCAGGGATGCAAGCACACCCAGGCCCCTGGCCCTGTGTGTAGTGTTTGGGGTCCTTTGTCTCTTCCTTTACTATGAGCCTGAGGCTTCGTCATAGACAGACCTTTGGTTCTGGGTCTTATTTGGCCCCTGTCCTCTTGAGAGCCACCTTTCAGTGCTTCCTCCAAACATGGAATCAACAGGAGAGGGAGACTTCTACGGTGCAGACCCTGCTAATGCATTCCACTGCTTGTTGTCTGCAGACTCAGGGCTTAGGAAGAGGAGACCAGGATGGCAACCAGTCCAGTCGAGCAGAGGTCCAGAGCCAGCGGTCCAAAGGCTCGGAGAGGTATAGTATGTGGGAGGTTGTCCTTGGAGAGCTGAGAAGTAGTGTGCTTTCAGGATAATGTGGTCTTAGGCAGAATTACCAGCTTTGGTGGTTGGCCTGGTTCAGTTGGCCCCTGTCTGAAGGCAGATGTTGAACTGACTGAGGGGCTGTGCAAAGTGTGCATGTGTATGCGTGTGTGCATGTGTGTGTGCATGCACACACCTGTGGTCTGCATGATAGGAATGTGAAGCACTTCTTGACGGGACTCTTCTTATGGCATCACGGTCAGGACTGGCCTCTGTCCTCCTCCCTGGGTTGGGCTAATTACGCTGTGCACTCCTGGTCCTGGCCAGAGTTGAAGTAGCCTATTAGAGGCCTGGGAAGTCATGCTGTAAGGTCAACTCTTAGCTCAGAGGCTCAAAGATGAGTGTGGCTGTGTGTGTGTGTGTGTGTGTGACCCTCTGGGGTTGTTCCTACTTTCCCAGGCCCAAGCCTGGACTGGAGAGGGGCTGCCGCCTCAGAAGGGAAAGGAGAATGGTCATCTTCATCTTGGACCTTGGAAAGCTCTCATTATTCTTGTTCTGTTGATGGTACAGCCTCAGGCATTTTCTGTGACCATTTGAGTCTGCTGTCTTTTTTTCTCTTTATTTTCCACTCAGTTATTCACTTTCTTTCTAGCCCTGGGGACAGTGAACTCTGGGAATAGACACACAGATGAGGGCGTCGAGGTCTCCTAAGCCACACCAGGGCAGCACGAGGAGCTGGGGGCCTGACTTTAACCTAGGCAAAAAGAGCCGGCAAGGGAGTGTCTCCATGTGGCCATCTGGCTGCTTTTCCCTGGGGCTCTCTGCGTGGGTTTGGGGCAGGGACTGGGTTAGCCGGGGAGCAGGCATCGACCTAGGGATGCACATTGCAGCCCCAAATTCTCTTCGTGCTCTCCAAACAGAGGGCCTGATGCTGTTGCTCTGGCTCACCTAACCAGGCTGTCTCCTCCACTTCTACATGGGGGGCCACCCCGGAGCCCCCTTCATAGCCAGCCCACTGAAGAAGGGCCTCCAGAGAGCCCCAAGGGGCAGCCTGGGTGGATGGAAGCAGGGGAGCCTGAGGAGGACTCTGTAGCTAGCCCCATCCTGCTGGTGTCTGTCCAGAGGTAAGGGTAAGGGAAAGTGCCCTGGGTGGCAGTGGCTCTTCTGTGTGTCCGGGGTTTCTCTGCTGCTGCTGAGGGACACAGGAGTGGGATGGGCCTGGCAGTGGAGGCTGGAGCCGGGGTGAGTTTGCAGCTGAAGCAGCAGCAGCAGAAGCAACAACAGGAACAGGAGCTGGGGAGCAGGGGGATCTGCTCCGCCCTTGTCCTCAGTCGTAGCCTGGGATAGCCAGCCTGATTCGGGGAGCTTAGGCACTCTTCAATAAAGATTCTCTTCTGTCCTCATGGCCTCTATGCCAGGAACTGGAACAGAGACTTTGCTCTTGTCCTGGCTGCTCCATTCTTGTCAGAACAGCCCTGTCACCCAGTCCCTGCCTCACCCGCGCTCTCCCTGTCAGCAGTGTGCTCAGCTCTGGTCACTCTACAAACCTGCTTGAGTCCTGCTGTGTGCTAGGTCCAGAGAGAGGGAGCTGCACAGATTCAGCTCCCTGAGGCAGCTGAGAGGACCTTCCCATCCCAGCCCTGTCCAGAGCCCAGTGCACCTTTGCCAGTACCTCTGTCCCCCAGCCAGAGGAAGACGCTGGTCTTAGGATTATCTGGTTGTGATGAGCCACCTGTGAGACTGCGTGGCAGTGACATTCAATCGGGAGCAGCCACTGAGCCCTTCTTTTAGAGCATCTGTTTTCACGTTGCAGCCATGCTGCTTCCCATGGGGTGGGGTGGGGTGGAGCGTCAGTCTTCAGTGCACAGAACTCAGTAAGAGGCCGGAGGGAGGTGCGAGGTTGGAGTCCTGAGGCAGGAAACTTGGTTGGGGCTGTCCCTCCTGTCCCCTTGCAAGTCTTTGGCCCTGAATGGGTTGCAAGTCAGACCTCTTGCCTTTCTATGGCTTTAACACAGTTGCTTCCTTTTTGCTGTCAAGGGAGCCGGCCTCAAGCCCAGCAGCTGCCCATGAGAGGGACCAGGCCGAGAATCAGGGCTCTGGGCAGGAAGAGACTGAGGAGCCCAAGGAGAAAGCAGCAGACAGCGCCATTCCGCCAGTCTCTCCGGAGGTGTAAGGGCCAGTTTTATCTGTCCCTGTCCTCACTGTACCTAGGTTGTGGGAGTGCCCACTCGTGGGTGGTGGGGAGGAGCTGCTCTGGCCTAGAGAGTGGGGTGCAGGGGGAGATGGAGTGCATCCCTGGCGCTCTGTGTGCAGCCTTGAGGGCCCCTGGGGCCATCACCATCGATGGTCCTTGCCTGGGTTAGCGTGGGTCCTGGGACACCTGGGACCCTGTCCCAGGACCCACGGTGTGAGGTGGATAAGAGGGCACCCTTCTGGTTCAATAGCAGAAATCTGGTAAATTATGTTCCCCTTTTACCAAGCATTGTTTTTCTCTTGCAAACTTTTAATTGAGGTTCGCAAATCTGAAGCGTAGGAGTCAGTGATTGTGTGTTTGCGTGTGTGCGTACCACATAGCCGCCGTTTGGGTCTGACAGAAGTGTTTCCTCAAGTCTTCTCGGTCCACCCACTTCAGAGCTCCACTCTCGTGGCTCCTATCTGTGGATTTGTTTTTCTCGTTCTGTGCCTTTATATAAATAGAATTATATAGTATACAGGATCTATCTTGTGTGTCTGGGCTCACACGAGATATATTTTTGAAACTCTTCAGATAATGCAGTGGAGACTTAGAATACAAAGGGATTTGGCCATGATCGAATCACTAGTTAGTGACAGCTAGAACTAGACTGTCCTCACTGGAATCCCAGACCTTCGCCTTTTCTTTGCAGCCATTTCTCCACATGCAGGAAGACAGGCACCAGGATTTATGCATTTTTCCCCCTGTGAGTGAGAGGAACAAAGGACTTGGGGGCTGACTGCTGAGCTGAAACAGGTTCCTGCACGGATGACTCACAGGGAATGTCACCCTAAGCTGCCGGGCACTGGCGCTCATGATGCCATGTGATTGCTGCAGCATCGCAGGAGATATGCAGGGGTGGGGCAGCCACGGGCTTCAGACTGTAGGACATTGTACAGTGGGCACTGGGACCTGGGAATCAGGCGGCTGTCCCGAGAGTCTCCTTGGCGCTTGTCACATGCAGAACAGGGTGCTTTCTGAGTACGGTTCAGAGAGAGGAAAATCTCGGCAGAGGTCAGAGGGGCATCTTCCTCTGACCCACCCTCTGGAGGGAAGCCTGAGGCTGCCTGGGCTGCTTGATGCCCTGACCATGTTTTTCTCCCATCCAGTGATGCTGCCTGGGCTGGGGTCTCAAGACACCCTCCTTGAGCAGCAGGGTCAGGTACATTGTCCCCTCAGGAAGTGCCTTTAGTGCCCCATGACTTCCTATTAAGTAATCTTCTTACCAAGTGAGGTATCTCTTGGTTTTCAGGGTGTTGTGAGGAGTAGTTCTGTGTCTGGCAGGTAGACTGGAAAGGTTTGAAACAGTGCAAGTGGCCAGAAGGCTGGGCCTGGGACACAGAGATAGCCTGTCCTTTGTCTTTAATGTCTTATGTGAGGGTTTGTGCAGAGACAGAAGGGAAGTGAATTCAGGACATGCAATTCCTTTAATTCTGACCCCAGCGTTAGTGGTAATACAGGTCATGCTCCGGGCTGCCATTTCTCCTGACCTCCACCCTCTCTCCTCTCCTGTGCCCTCCTGTCTTGCTTGCCCTCGCATGTCCCCCAGGGCCCCAAGCTACTGGGTGGCCAGCCTGAGTTGATTATACTCCAGAGTCTTCCCTCTGCCACTCACCCTTGGAAACTGGGACTCAGAGGGGCTGACACCTGATGGGCTGGCCTAGAAACCAGACCTGTCTCTTCCTCTGCTGTCTTCAGCTTCCCAATCATCCCCTTGATCTGGTGAGCATTGTTCCCTGTGTTGGACCTAGGCCAGGCATTCTGCATACCCCAGGGAGGCAGGAGAGGCTCAGTGAAAAACAGCCCCATTTGCCTGCATGCCAGGCGCACGAGCAGGCTCACTGGAGCATGCAGCCTGGGCACGTGCTGGCATGCGGTCTGATGCCCCATCTTCCTGCAGCATTGGTCCCTGGGGCTCCACATAGCTGCACAGCCCACAAGGGAGACAGACATTAAGGTACCATCGTGGGGAAAGAAGATGTTTTCAGCGAAGGTTGGAAATGAGCTGGAGGGTTGATGAGGCGGAGAGCTGGCGGGGAGGCTCCTCCAGGGCCGTGCTCGCTCTCCCAGAGACAGTGGCGTCCATGCTGCTTGCATCTGATCAGTCAGCTGGGAGGGAGCCGGGTTTGGAAGGAGTGGACGTGGAGCCGGGGCGGGAAAGATTTGGAGGTGCAGCTCCAGATCCGTTCCGGTCGGAGTTCTGATTTAGGAGAGCAGGAAGGCAGGTCTTGCTGGTATTTCCTCTTCTGTGGTATCGGGCTGCAGTGGGATCCCAGTCCCTGTTTCCTCGCGCTGTCCCGCTCGGTTCCCGCTGCTGCCTTCCATCTGCTGTGGCGTGCGGCTGGCAGGAGAAGGGGCACTGCGTTTTCAGCAGGGGGACCAGCTCCTCTGTTTGACTCTTGCCGGGTCCTCTTTGATTCGGATTCTGCTCACATGTTCCTGCTGAGGTGGACCGAGCCACTGTGCCAGGCCTGCAGCAGCCCGAGTGCCATCTTTGCTGAGACAGATTTCTGTCTCCAGGCTTAGGGATGGGGGAGGGCAGGCATGGACGGCCTCAGAAAGTCTTTCGGAAGGTGAAATACTGTATTCCTGCTTAGGCTTTCGTTGCCTGAAGTTCTCTAACTTTTGCTTTTGGGCACTCCTTGAGGAACCAAGAAACAAACAAAAACAATTATTCTCACTACTCTATAGACATCTCGTAACTAATCCTGTTGTTCCCTGCCACCTGAGTCTGCATTCAGGTTAGCTCTCTATTTCCCGTCTCTAAGCACTGAATTAACTCTGAGCAGATGAGAACCTGCCACCCTGGAGAAACAGAGCATAAAACCCCTCTTCCCGTTCAGCACCTTTTTGTCTCAGAAGGATCTCCTGCCTGTCTCCCTTGCTGGTGACAGAGGGGGTTCCCACTCCCTGGCCCCCCATGGGCTGTTTCCCTCAGAACCGGGAGCTGAACCCAGAGACTCTGCACTGAACCACATCCCCAGACCCACAGCCTTTTAATTTACTTTTTATTTTGAGACAAGGTCTTACTAAGTTGCTCTGGCTGGGCTCACCCTTGTGATCCTCCTGCTTTGGCCTCTCAGAGTGCCGGGATTATAGGTGTGTGCCACCGCGCCCGGCTTCCATGGACTGCTGCAGGCTTCAGGGCTGCTGCTTTTCCTATGAGTTCACATACATTGGCCTCCGTTCTGTTTGGGAGGCAGAGAGCAGGCTCGGGGGACTGTTCCTGAATCGCCGTAGCTGGCATGACCCTCACAGAGCAAGCAGAGCCGGGGTAGAGACATGGAAACCGGCCTGAGCCATCCGGGGGAAAATCCTCTGGGGACAGCACCTCAGTCTCCTTGCTGCTGACAGCTCCTGAGCCACAGCTTCAGGTGTTGACCTCAGGCCACAACCTACCAGCTGTGCCGCCCTTCTCCTTGGGCGCTTGGACTTACTCAGCTGCAGTGGGCTTGTCCTGTAGAACAGAGGCTGGCTGCATTTTTTTTTGCCTGCCCTGTGTGGCCCGAGTTAGGTATGTGACTCTGACCCTGGGGCCTCCACTAGGGTTCTCCATGTGATGTCTTGTGTCCTTCTGGAACTCAAAGCTGCAGGTGGATGGATAGTAACTCTGTCCTGATAAGCTGTTCCTCTCCTGCAGGCCATCTGCGGAACCTTTGGGTCCCCCAAAGCACCTCCCAGAGCCTTCACGAAAGGCCATGGAAGAGGCAGTGGCCCTGGAATTTGAGGAAGAGCGGAGGCGGTTATTGGAATCGCAGCAAGAGAAGATGCAGCGGCTGCGGGCAAAGCTGTGGCAGGAGGAGGAAGAGGAGACGCTGCAGCTTCGCCAGAAGAAGGAGCAGTCCCTCAGGTCCTCGTGCTCCCTGTGCCTGCTCCCCTGGCCGTGCAGGGCCGTGTGGATTGAGGGGCGCCCTTTTGCTGCACTGGACACCACTTGGGATGCCATCCCACCTTTACCTAATAATTTCTGCTGTTAACTCACTGGTTTCCCTTCGTTGCAAGGGGGACTGGAAAATGCAGGTCTTCAGCTTCTTTGGGTGCTAAAATAAAATCAGGATTCTCTTAATAAGAAAAAGGAAAGACAGCCTACAGATGGGAAAACAAGTTTCGCTAGCTCTTCCTCAGAAAACTAAACTAGTAGGCAGGATTTATACAGAACTTAAAAAAAATTAGACACCCCCCCACCCCAAATGAAACTCAGTCAAAAAACAGGCAAGGGAAATGAATAGATACTTCACAGAAGAAGAAATACAAATGGCCAATAAATACATAAAGAAATGTTCAGTGTTGCTGGCCATCAGCGCACTGTGAGTTCAAACAGCACAGATTCCATCTTACCCCAGAAAGAGTGGCTGTTATCAAGAAATTAATAACAAATCTGGAGAGGCTGTGGGAGAAAGGGACCCTTCTCCGCTGTTGGTGGGAACGTAGATTGGTACAACCACGGTGGACATCAGTGTGGAGATTCCTCAAAAAACTAAAATGAAAACTAGAAATTCCACTTGACCTAGCTAGTCCCCTTCTAAGTATCTTCCTGACAGAATGATTCATGTATCAGACATGAATAGCCACGTTTATATCAGTACAGTTCAGAATAGCTGAGTTTTGGAAGTGGCCTCGAACTATCAACAGATAAATAGATAAAGAAAAAATAAATTGCAAAATAAAAGATAGACCATAGGAAGCAGGGAAATAGGTCATTCTCAGATTGGAAGGGGATCAAGAGATGCAGGGAAGGGGAAGGGAAAAGGGTTTCAGAACAGAAAAAAGGGCAAATGGAGATGGAGAAAGTAAGTCCCTGGGTGTAGAGGTGTTGTAAAAGGCGTTCACATTTCATTTGCTTGGCACTTTAACAGATAACTCCTGGCTTTTAGGCAGAATAGCCAAGAGTAATAGAAAGTTGTTTCTAGATCATATATAGCAAAACATAGCATATGTAACACCTGTATGCTTGATCTGTGAAAACAGGACAGAATACCAACACCATTCTTACAGCATTGAGAATCTTGGGAGGCAGTCTCCCCCATGAGCCCACACAGGATCTTCAGACCCAGAGTCTGTCCTTCTGTCATGCCCCCTTAGGTCCCCTGCTAGGGAACATCTCAAAGAACAGACCCCCCACGGCATCCTCTTCTTCCAACAAAAGAAGATTGAGCTGGAGCCTACCCGAGCAGGCGGGGTCTCCATTCACCTTAAGGTGCAGGAGGAGGGACCTCGTGGGGCCTCTTCCCTGCCCACCAGCTTTGCCCCTCTCCCAGGCCACCCTTGCTTGGCTGACTCTGCTTCTCGTTCCTTGTCTTGGAACCACAAGGATCTTCCAAGAGCCATCGCAGTCTGTGGTGTGCAGTAGCACCCTGAAACTGTCTGAGCTGGGCCTGGAACGAAGCACATGCTCCCGAGTGGCAGCCTTGGCTGTCATTTTCAGCTGAATTACAGTTTCAGCCGGACTTGCCTAAGTGATTTCTCTGCGAGTAGAGCCTTGCTTGGCTCTTACTGAAGCAGTTCATCAGGAGAAGCCTGTTTCTGTGTACTCTAGAGGCTTCTTGGGATGGGGCTTCCTCCTGTCTGCTGGGCAACTTCCTCTGGGTAGAAGATTTTGGAAGCCACACTGATCCCATAACAAATATTCCTTGAGTGAGAAAGCAGGTGGAAGAAGACAGGCAGACTGACCCTTAGTTTCTTTAGTTGTAAATGAAGATACTGGATTCACCGCTGGTGTTCCTGCCAGCTCTAACAGGCTGTGTGGCCGTGTGTAAATTAGTCATGGGAAAAAGAGAGTTCCTTGGGAATCTAGAAGGAAAGCTTTTTGCTTAGCTCAAATTTCCTCTCATGACAGAAGAGAGTGATGGTGTTGATAACTTGAAATAGGAAACAATCCTAAATCTTTTTTGGCTTTGGAATTCACTGCAGAGCTTTGCTGTTTTTCTTAGGTCTGAATTCTCCAAGTGCACAGTGTATGTCCCCAGGCTTTGTGAGCCCCATGGGGAGGATACAGTTTGAACAGCTGTATGGAAATCATATAGTTTGTCTGCTTAGGTGAATGGCCAGTCACTGGTCTATAGCCAGACACCTTTCATGGATTGCGAAGGCTTGCTTATGCTTTGGGGATGGATGATATTGTTAAAGTCCAGGACACACTTAGTGAGCACCCGTGTTATGTCTGTTATATCTTGTGTGCTCGTAGGGTATACCAGGTTTTAAAGCAACCTTCTTGCTCTGAAGAAGCTCCCAGACTTGCACGATGCAGGCTAGCACAGAATAAGAAAGGTCCACAAAGCGAGGACGGTGGGAATGTTGAAATGACGGACCTTGAGAGGGTTGTTAAGACGTCCCAGAGAGGGGCTGAGGGTTGAGTAATGAATGTGAGATTTTCAGGATTTGCCTGAGTACAAAGAAAAAGGAACGTTAGGCAGAGCATCAGCATGAGCAAAGGCCAAGAGGCGAGGAAGAGTGTGGTGGGGTTTAGGGTTGGTGACATATTGATGCACCTGGAGCGATGTCTCTGGGTAGGGAGCAGGAGACTCGGACGCAGAGTCAGGTTGGCTGGAACCCTGCTGGAGCGAATTCTATACCAGGCTGATCTTTAGGTGGAGGGAGCCTTGGGAGAGTCTGCACTGGGCTCAAAGCTGAGATCTGCTTGCCATGGTAAGAAGTTCCAGGCGTAGGAGGCGCGATAGGGTGGCATGGTGCACCGCGGAGGCTGAGGTTAGACTTCATTTTAAGTCAGAGGATGCCGTGCAGCTCTTGGCTGATAGGCAGAGAACAAGAACATAGCACGAGGTATCTCTGTGGTCTTTCTGTCTAACTGTTTTTTTTTTTTTCCTGCTCAGTGTCCTGAAGGAGCAGCTGCAGAAGGCCACCGAGGAGGAGGAAGCTCGGATGAAAGAGGAGGAGGGTCAGAGGCTGTCGCAGCTCCGAGCCCAGGTCCATTCTAGTGTGGAGGCAGATAAGGAACAAATCAGGTGAGTGCCCCCTGGGACCTGGCAGCCCCATGGAGGGGACAGTCCAGAGCTTGTCCCCATTCTGTTCTTTCTCTCCAGAGCTGAGCAGGAAGCCTCCCTGCAGAGGATAAGAGAAGAGTTCGAGGCCCAACAAAAGGCCGAGAGGGCCAGCTTGGAGCAGAAGAGCAGGCAGACACTTGCACAACTCAGGGAAGAGCTGGAGGCCTCGGAGGAGAGAGCACGGGCCGCCCTGAAGGCCGAGAAGGAGGAGGCTTTGCAGCAGCTGAGCGAGCAGCTGGAGGGGAAGAGGAAAGAAGTGAGTGAGTCAGTGGGTCCCCACTCTGTCCCATGGCTGGGGTGCCCGGGAGGGGCCGAGGAAGGGGAAGGGCACATCCTGAGTGCATGTCAGGTGGCAGCCTGGGCACAGTGTGCTGTTCAGGCAGTTCTGAGAAACAGAGCTGACTGTCTGGGCCCTTTGTGCACCTGACTTAGCTCTGGGCAGGGGCTGGTGCTGGTCTTGCTGGCCTGGCAGAAGACACCTGGCAGCAGGTGTCCAGAGGCCCTTCAGGGTCTGGCTGGGATACAGGCAGCAGCTGGATACTGTTAATGACCAGGAGCCCTCAGAGGCTCGTGGGGGAAATGGCCCCCGGTTTGGGAAGGTCTCCCGGCTGACAGAACATCACAGGTGAGGGGAGCTGCAGAAGCTTTTATCGCCCTGCTTTTTTCTCCAGTCTTAGCGTGAGAGGCCAGAGCCTTGGAAGAGATTTGTCCTCTGTCCTCACCTCTCCCTCCAGGCTGATCGTCCACCCCCAGGGTGGACACCAATGTGCCAGGAAGGCCATGCAGAAATTTCTTTTCCTTTGGTGAAGAGCGAGTATCACCTGTGAGACGTGGAGAAACTGCACCCAGCCGAGGGTGTGTCATTGTCTGCAGGTGTTCAGAGAGGGCCCGCGATGCTGTGGCCTCCCTGGCTTGGGTCTTGTTCACAGCCACATCGTCCTTACCACAGCTAACCCAGGGGCCAGGCGTGGGAGCAGGACCTGAGGCCTGCTGGAATGGCCCTCTGCTCCGGCCTTCGTGTCCTGTCCTGGTACCAGCTGCAGTCCCTGAGGGGCTGAGCTATTTTTCAGAGCAATGATAGTGTGCAGTGATTTCCCTCAGTCCCTTACCTTGAGGAGGTTGGGGTGATCTTCCTGACTCTGGCGTCCTCTGGTCATTATCTGGCCAGTGTCCCTGCCCTGCTTCCCTCACAGGCCCTTTGCTGCTCCCCAGGCAGTGGCGGGGCTGGAGAGGGAGCACAGTGCCGAGCTGGAGCGGCTCCGTTCCTCACTGGAGGCCAAGCACCGGGAGGTGAGACTCGGCTGGGAGAGAGCCCAAGCACCCCAGGACTCCTTCATGCTGGTCAGCAGCAGAACTCCCCGTCTCTGGCTACTAGGATGCAAGCCTCCCCCTCCTTCCAGGCCTCTGGGGTGGGTGTGGGGTGGGATCGTGGGAGCAGGTCCCCACATGTGGCCCTACTGTGTCCCTGGGCATCACACTGGCGTCCCTTCAGGTGGTCTCTGACCTCCGGAAGAAGATAGAGGCAGCTCAGCAGAAAGAGGTGGCCCAGCTTCAAGAGAACCTTGGGTGGGCAGAGCAGAGAGCTCACCAGAAGGCTCACCAGGTGGCTGAGTACGAGCAGGAGGTGAGAGCCGGTCGGAGCCAGGGGCAGCACTGTGGGCCGGTAGGCCGTCCTGGCCCGAGCGCGCTCCACTTTGTGTGTGTGTGGCTCTGCAGCGCTTGGCACTTGGGTTCTGTTTCTGTGTCTACCACGCTGCTAGGTCAAGTCCTTGGCCCCCAGGATCTGGCACAGCACCTGTGGGGAAGCAGTGTTGGGAGGTGTGTGTGTGGGATGTGGGTGTGGTGGGGGTGGGGACAGTGGGAGGTGCCCTGGGCTGCCCACCTGGCTCCCGCACACTGCATGCCTGCTGTGCCTCCTGCAGCTCAGCAGCCTCCTGCGAGAGAAGCGGCTGGAGGTGGAAAGGGAGCACGAGAGAAAGCTGGACAAGATGAAGGAGGAGCACTGGCAGGCCATGGCTGAGACCTGGGAGCTGTATGAAGCTGAGGTAAATCGACCTGTCCTCCCCGCTTCTCCTCTCCTCTCCCCCACTTGTGTGTGGTGGAAGCAGCCCCCCTTGCTTGGGATTGTGGGGGGCTTTCTCCCCGGCACCCTCGTTGGCAGACTGCTGCTCAGGAAGGCTGCACTGTCTCTTAATGAGACGGTGGCAGCAGCTGACATAGGGCTTGTACGATGTGGCTGGCACTTGGCGAAGCACTTTAGCTGTCTCAGCCCTTCGTGGCATCCTTGAAACAGCCTTGGGAAGTGCATGCTGTCATCGTCTCCACTTTAAAGAAGAGGACACTCAGTCTTGGAGAGCTCAAGCCAGTTCCCAAGGTGGCACCACTAATTAGTAAGGGACTGAAAGTTCCAGCACTGCTGTCCAACTCCAGAGCCCTCAGTTTTGTCTTTCTAACAGCAGGCCACCAGGGCTAATGACATTTCAGGGTACCAGGAAATAGACAGGCCAGAGCCAAATGGGATTCAGACAGTATTGGCCCATCTTCATCTTTGGCCTTACGGTGGGAATGTTCAGTCTCTTGGCTTCATTTGTTCATGTTTCGGGTAAATAGTAGGTGGGGCCTTTAGTCCCCATCTGGGCCCTGTAGGAGGCTTTTAATCTCCTGCTCCAGTAACTGGAATCAGCACCCCAGATCTGGGACAGACATAATAAACCCATGGTGAAATTTAGCCTCCTCCCTTCCCGGGCCAATTTTTTCCTCCCTGAGGACCTGTGCTAACTGATGGATGAACTCGTCACTGAGGAGGAGGAAGGCTGTCTGGCTGACATCTGTTTTACTGGCTGGTGTTGGGGGCCAGGCAGGCTGCCTTGCGGCTGGGACTGAGAGCTGGCCTTGAGGTGCAGATAGTGAGCCCAGTCTTACTGATCTGAGGCTGAAGAGGTAGAAGAGACTGATCTGGGAGGTGCCAGGAGGCTTGTAGGTTCCTACCCATGGTTCCTCACACCTTTGCAGGAGAAGAAGCAGCGGGCAGACCTCCTGGGGCGCCTGACAGCGGAGTTGGAGCGCCTGCGGAGGGCTCATGAGCGAGAACTGGAGATTATGAGGCAGGAGCAGGACAAGCAGCTCGAGGACCTGCGACGCCGGCACCGGGAGCGGGTGAAGGCATGGGAAGGGGCCGCCTGTGCACTCCGTGCAGGATGGGAGGTGCTGGGAGCCGAAAACCGCTCGCAGCTGGATGGGGCCCTGACGGCGTTAGGAGCTCGGGGTCTTTCTCTGCCCATATTTCGTTTCTTGAGACAAGCACTTGATAGTAGTTCAGGCTGCCCTTGAGTTTGTGGTGGTCTTCCTGCCTTGGCCTCCTAAGTGCTGAGATTACAGGTGTGCACCGCACTCGGCTGTCTCTCTGCCCCTGTTGAAGTTTGGGGCTTCTTTGCCCCTTTTCTGAGCCAGGGAAAATGCCTAGAACTAGAAGGCAAGGTCAGCCCTGTGAGGCTTGGGGTGGGCAAGTCTGCCTCCGCTTGTCCCCACTGGGAGTCAGGTGTGTCCATTCCTGGGAGGTGGTGTGGGGACATGGGGAGAAGCCAGCCTGAGCCCAGCCTAGAGGCTGTATCGGGGTACAGTGGGGTGTGGAACCTTCTCCTCCCTAGTGCTTTACACTGTTTCTCCACTTACATGCCCTCTCCACACTGCTCCTGGACAGGAGAGGAAACTCCAGGACTTAGAGATGGAACTTGAAACCAGAACTAAAGAAGTCAAGACCAGAATGGCTCAGCTGGATGTCCAGGTGAGGGGCTGGGGAGGAGGATAGATGTACAGGGGCCCTAGAGGGCCATGGAGCTCCCTCCTCTGGGGGAGGGCAGGCCCTACCCTCATATCAGGGGTCTGCAGTCGGCCCATGAGCTCGTGTTCCGCCAGGAGGAGACTGCCCCGAAGGAGAAGCAGCAGCTACTTGATGCACAGAGGCAGGGGGCCCTGGACAGTGAGGTTTGTCTGTTTCTTGTCCTCCTTTGCCCCCTTTTGCTCACCTGCTGTGTCGGGGACCCTGGGCTCCAGCGTGTGGACCAGCATTGCACAACTCGTGCCTCTGTGGGCGCCAACTTGGGAGCCTCAGGGTGTGGGCCGTGCGGTCCCTTGGCCCTAGAGACGCTGGCTTCAGAGGCTCTCACTTCCCTGGTCATTTTCTGGCTTTCTCACGCTTGAGGGCTGCCTGAGCCTGCCTTCCCCCTACTGTGTCCCCAGGTATGTCTGCCTTTCCTTCCATCTCCAGGAAGCTACAACCACTCATCAGCACCTGGAAGAGGCAAAGAAAGAGCACACCCACACGATGGAGTCCAGGTGGCAGCTCCGAGGCATTCTGGATGAGCTGCAGGCCCGTAAGCTGGAGCTGGAGTCTGAAGTGGATTTTCTGCAGGCGCAGAGTCAAAGGCTGCAGAGACGCATCAGGTGGTGTGGGCAGCCTGCACCTGGCCACCGGCCAGCCCCCTCTTGCTTATTGCCTGACTGCTGCTGCTCTCAGGCCCCATCTTATCAGAGTCTGGTTAATAAGGAGAGGCGGGGAGCCCAATGTGAAGGCCAGGCAGAAAGATGTGTGTCCGCTGCATTTTGCAGGGAGTCCCATGCTGGAGCTGTGAAAAGCAGGATCCCTGCTTCTGTTTGTGTCCCAGCCCTGCCTGGTGACTTTGACGGGGCTGAGGGCATGGGAATGGGCTTGGTAGTGTGCTGCCTGGCCTCCTTCATCCCGGGACTCTGCCTCACCTCCTACCCGCTCTCCCGTCCCTTCCACAGCAGCCTGGAGGCCGAAGCTCAGAGAAGGCAGAACATCTTGAGAGAGCTGGCTGTTGAGGCAAACAATTCTTCCACACATTTTGAGTCAGATCTCTATATTGAGGACCTGAGGAAATCACTTGGGACAGTGAGCTGGGGTCTGGATGGGGGAGCAGCGGGGGGCGGGGGACACCCGGAGGGGGTTCTGGCCTCCTTTTCTTGTGCTCAGCCCTGGCTGTCTCTACCAGTCCAGTGGTAGCTATAGGTGAGGAGCGCCTGGCAGCTGGCAGAGCCATTGCCTTGCCTGGCCAGTTCGGGCTCTCTTGAGCCTGCAAGGTGTCAGCTTCTGCTGCACTCAGTGGCTCTTTTGATGTGTTCATAGAAGCAGCCCCAAGAGGTATCCTCCCCTTTCTCCCAGAACAAGGAGGAGACCATCCTCTCCTCAGACAGGTGAGTTTCCACATCCTGCCTTATTTCGGGGCGAGGGTTCCACAGAGGGGTGAGTGAGAGCCTGGGACACAGAGCTGAAGTGACAGTGACTAGCAGTGGGGTTTGGTTCAGAGGTGAGGCCAGGGATGGAGGAGTCTTCTGTGCCAAGCCAAGAAGCAGCCCATCTGACCCTTGACACGACACGCTGGCACCTCGTGACCTCTGGTTGGACACTGCCGGGAGTGCCTGGCCGTCTGCCACAGGCTCCAGGCACACTCTTTTAGATGAGGGTGGAAGGACCTTGGTTCTCCGTGCCACGTGCAGTAGGTATTTAACAGTGGGGTCCCTGCACCTGCCCAGTGCCGCTCAGGCTGGGCATTGCTGAGAAGGTGGCCACGGGCCCCAGAGCAGGTCTCTGAAAGTCTTTCCTTTGCTCCTCTGCTTTCCCTTTCCTGCCTGTCCTCCCCCAGCATCCGGCACTACCTCTCTGCTGAAGGGATGGCTGTCCGTAGTGCCAAGCAGTTCCTGGTGCGACAGACACGCTCCTTGAAGAGGCGGCAGACAGCCCTGAAAGCTGCACAGCAGCACTGGCGCCATGAGCTGGCCAGTTCCCAGGGGGAACCTGGTGACCTGCCGGGCACCAAGGCCCTAGGTGATGTGCGCAAGAGCCTGGAGGAGGTCAGCACCTGGAGGAGAGCCGCCGACCCTGTAGCAGGAGGCTAGGGGTGCTGGTAGAACCCTCGCCTTTAGGCTGCCCTTAGCTGATCATCCTGGGAACTCCAGGGAAAAGCCACCTGGGGTCACTTACATTTACATGGCAACACAGCATGTGCAAACAAATGCTTTCCCCACTAGTACATCATTTGAGCTTCATTTCGGCTGTGTATGTAATATGCAAAATAGTGCAAATTGGAAATCTTTTCAACCAGTAAAGCCTATGCAAGTATTCTGGAATCTGAAAAACTCCAGAATTGGAGGCACTTCTGTTTCCAAGCTTTTTGGATAAGAGTTACTCACTCTGTATTATTACTCCCATTTTCTAGATGAAGAATAGGATTGAGGTTTAAATAGATAGGTTTAAAAATTTTTAAATCCAGTGCTTTGCTTTTCTACTGTGTAATAATACAGACCGAATTGGTGAATGAAAATCTTCTGGACACAGTCGTCTGGAAGACTGAGTTACTTCTCTGGTTGGCCTTTGTGGCAGTCTGATTTGTAGTGACGAGGATTGTTAGCTGGTGTGAGGGATCTTTGTACCTGTCGTTGGGGTTCGGCAGGGTGGGCTCTCTTGGATCATCCCTGGGCCTTTGAATCCTGACAGTGCAAGAGCAGGTGAGGGCGCCTCGCCCTGCAGTGCCTGTGCCAGGCACAGGGGCAGCAGAGGGCCAGGGGCTGGAACGACAGGGACAGGCTTCCTGGGGGTGTGTACCTGCTTCCTCCAGGGCCTGTTACTGCCCGCCTAACTCCCGATGCAGAATGGTGGGGATGAATACCTGGAGCGTGGGCCAGGGATTCTGCTCAGTGCCAGTGCTTGCCTGGCAAGTGCAAGGTTGTGAGTTCTTTTCCTGGTACTGAAAAAAATCAGTGATGACAACAGCAGTAACCATTTGAGAATTTACTAGATGTGGGCCTTGTGTTTTTCAGCATATCACATACTGTATCTCCCTTCATTCTGTCCACTTGATGGAGGCAGTATTTCTTTTTCTCAAACCACACCGAGAAGTAATTTGTTCAAGACCACCCAGCCAGGACATGGTGCAACCAGAGCTCCAGCATCTGTGGGGTTGATCACTTCTCCTCCCCTTCCTTCCTGGCTGCAGGAGACCAGGCACTTGGATGAGATGAATTCAGCCATGCAGAAAGGCCACGACCTGCTAAAGAAGAAAGAGGAGAAGCTGAACCAGTTGGAGACCTCTCTCCAGGAAGAGGTGTCTTCTCGGCTGCGGCCTCCTCCTTGTGTTCCCAGGATTGGTTGGCGTGTTCCTTGGTCCCAGATTAGGGGGAGCTAGGCCTCTAGGATCCAGGCTTGGGTGTTGGCTCGGGGCTTCTGGCTGGTGAAAATGGCCATGGCTCTTGCTGTTGAGCAACATACTGTGGGTTTAGGATGTCCTGAACAGCCCTGGAGCTGCTTGGGAAGGGTCGGAGAAGGGGAACAGTCCCTGCTCTTCCCTGTCTCGGGCCCTGTAGAGAATGTGACCAGTGTGTGAGAGTGGACATTGGTCACAGGTGTCCTTCCTTTCCCTGGGGCCGAATACATGTTGTCCTGCATTCTACGGGTTTGGATGTAGCATCAGCAAAGCTCGGGTGGAGAAACACTGCTGGACAGGGTGTGGGAGAGAGCAGAGGTGTCCACCCAGTCCTGGTGGCTTTGTTGCCTGCATATCAGCAGTAGGGTTCTCCCAGCCTCACCTCCTCCTGAGGCAGCCTATGTGGTTCGCCTCTCCCAGGTGCCTGGCAGAGCTCTGGGCCCCAAAGAAACTGGTCACCAAGGTCTCAGTCCCACACTTATCACAGGGGCAGCGGGGTAGGAAGCACACGGGGAGGGGCAGTACTCATGGCTGCTTCTACCCATCAGGCCTTAGATGAGGACATTCTGAAAGGGAGCCCTGCCAAGAAAGTAGTGACCTTCGACCTTAGTGACTCAGAAGATCTGAGCAGTGAAAGTTTGTCCTATCCTCTGCCTTCCGGTGAGTGGTAAGGGGAGTAATGAAGCGAAACCCACAGCATGGGTGAAGAGGGGCGAACACCGGGACTCAGTCCCAGGCCCCTTCCCTCAGCCCGAGGGGTCAGGTGCGTGAGCTGGGGCCTGGACTAGGGAGCGGGGAAGTCCACTGGCTCTGCAGTACCGGTGCCGAAAGGGTCAGGGGTGCCTTCCGGGTGCTGCCAGGTGTCCCTATAGCCTTTTCTCTCCCAAGCCTCCGGGGAGGCCGTCTGCGCTCTGCTACTGTGGTCTGTGAAAGCCCATCCCTCCCTTCCCTCCAGGTCCTGGGCTGTGCCCCAGGTTTGCACTGTCAGGACCACAGAAACCCTGCTGTCCTCTGTCCCTGACTTGAGACTGAGGGGCAGCCAGTGGGGGGCTGCAGTGCCAGATGGGTCTGGAATGTGCCAGGGCCTTGACGCTGGGTGTTTACGCAGCCCTTCAGCAGCCCCTGAAGCTGGGCCCTGCCTCTTCCCTTTCAGGCACCTCAACCCCAAGTCCCGTCATCCCCAACAAGATCAGTTACCTGAGCAGCTCCCTGCAGCGGATCAGCAGCGAGCTCAATGGCGTCCTCAGCGTGCTGGGCAGCCTCAGCACCCCGCCGCCGCCGCTGCCTCTCTTCACCTCCTCGCCGTCCTCCAAGAGCTCCTCCGTGCCCGCCTACTCCTCCCTGAACAGGGCCTCGGCCTCGTCCGTGGCCGCATCCACGTCCACCCAGTGGGCTTGGGACCCGGGGCTGGGCCCCCAGCTCTCCTCCTCTACGGCACAAGCAGTGGACGACTTCCTGCTGGAGAAGTGGCACAAGTATTTTCCCTGTGAGCTCCCTCTGCCCTGGCTGGCCTCCCACCTGCTTTCCATTCTTCCTTCTGGTCTACCCTCTTATCCTGCTTGGTCCTTTTGTGTTTTGACGTTGCCTCCCTCTGTCCCCTGACCCCAGCTTTGGTTCTGTGGCTCTGCAGCCGGAAGTCCTGTAGTCAGGATGGATTTCACGGAGCCTGGCTTGCCGGGGGCCTTCATGCTGGATTCTAGGGTTGAGCAGAAAAGGTTACGGTTGTCACTGTCACTGTCATGATGACTACCACTTGTGCAATCATTTTTTCTTTTCATTTAGTCCTATGGTGATTCTCTGTGGTGCTGATTATTTATCCCCACTTTACAGATGAGTGAGCTGAGACCCGGTGAGGTTGTCAGGGTATCCAGTGAGTGAGCTTTGACCCCAGGTTTGACACTGGGTTTTGACTCCATGTCCCAGACTTAAGGATCCTGCTATGACTCCTTGACTGTGTGGCTTCCCCTTCCTCCTGGGTCTGTGGGCCTCCTTGGTGTCATAGCCATGCTGAGGACTGTGAGAAGCTATTGAGGAAATACATATATATATATTTCCTCATCATAAAAACCCTCTTCTTTCTGTCTGCCCCTGACCCAATTTTTCCCCCCTCAACTTGAAAAACAAACCAGGAATGGTGGTGTGCACCTGCAATCCCAGCACTCAGGAAGCTGAGGCAGGAGGGTCATTTCTAGTTCAAGGCCTGCCTGGATCACCTGGCGAGACCTTGCCTTAAAAAAATGGAAAAGTAAATTAAGTTTTAGGGATAGAGTCAGCTGGTTCCTGTCTGTCACCTGCCTCTTACCTGCAGCCATTGAAAGTTCCCCTGCCTTTGTGTTCATTCTGCGGGGTGCCACCTTACAACTATTTCGGGGAAGGCAGGAGGTGCTGGTGGGCGGGGAGGGGCCTGCTGGGACCCGGCTTTGACCCTGCTGACTCTGCTGTCTCTGCACTCTCTCCCCCGCTCTTCTAGCTGGCATCCCCTTGCTCAGCAGCTGCCCTCCCTCGCTGGAGAACAGGCTGGGCTATCTGTCTGCCAGGTAAGCCTGCTGGGGTTTGATGGGACCCTCCACCTGCCTGCTGTGCCCCCTGGGTAGGCAGCACTTCTAAGACAGCAGACCTCATGGTCTTGTGGCCACAGAGCTGCCCTCACCTTGCCACTATAGTCCCTCCACCGCCAGGGGAAAGTACTCCTTACCGCTGAGGTTGTGCCAGGGAGGTTGGGGCTGGGCTTACGCAGCCAGCTGCATGAGGAAGCTGCCCTTGGCAAGTGTGGGGAGAAATCAGTCCTTGGAGGAGCGTGTGCCCTGTCCCGCCCGTCCGTCCTGTGGCCTTTCCAGCCCTGGAATCTGGAGTTTGGCCTTTGTCTTTGCTACTGAGCTCTTTGTCTGCTTCCTGCACTTCTCTTCCTCCCTGGGTCTTGCTGAGCAACATCTGGAGTGAAAGGGACACCCTGTGGGGGTGACAGACGGGCAATTATTTAAACCTGTTATTAATTTCCCATTCACCTTATTCCCTGCCAAATGCCCCTCCTCCACCTCAAGCCCCAACCGTCTCTTAAAGGCAGCTTGGGAGCAGAATTGACAGAGGGGTGCTTCTTGCTGATGAGACAGGCTGGAGCAGGCAGATGTGGGAGCTCAGAGTGGATGTCAGTAACAGACACCCAGGGGCAGGGTGGAAAGGTGCCCTTACCGTCCCCTTTGGAAACTGGTGCTTGTCTTTCTGGGAGGCAGCTTTGAGTTGCTCAGGCAATCCCGGTACAGACAGGAAGAATGAGGAGGTGGCAGGGTGACCTCCGGTTGGCTCTGCCACGAGTCCCCCTTTCTAGCTCCCTGCCATTCTTATCTTCTTTCCACACCTCCCCTCTCCTCCTCTTTCCCAGTGAGCAGCTCCGCCTCCTGCAGAAGCCCCATTCCCGAAGCCCAGAGGTGGGCAGCACCAGCATCCAGAGCATGATCAGGGCCAACCGCCAGTGGCTGAACCGATTCAAGAGAGACCCCAAAGTGTATCCTTTCCCGTCCCCTCTTGTAGCAGCGGCTGACTGCGCTTGGCTGCAGGGCCTGCGCTGGGCCTTTGACCCCTTGTTGGCTTCCACCTGGTTGTGCTCAGCTGCCCAGAGTTTTCCTTTACCTCGTGACCAGTCATCTCTTCTCTGTCCCCAAGTCCACAGCCACTTCAGACCTGCTGCAGCTGGACCTGGATGAAGACAACAGACTGCACGTGTATCGCTGTTGAGCCCCAAGGTGGGCTTGGCAGCTGTCTCCTCCCCAGAGCAAGTGCCTAAGCAGCTGCCTGCACTTTATTCCAACAGACAACGTGTCTGTCCTCCGCTGCACCCCACTCAAGACCTGGAGGAATCTGGAGATGGGGGGAAGGGTGGGATGATTAGAGAGTCAGCCACATTCTGTGAGTGAGCACCCGACCTCGGGCTGAAACATGTGGATTTACGTGAGCTGGTGCATGAGTTGGCAGTACTGAGGAGAGGCCTCAGGGACATGGGCACCTTTGGGACAAAGGGTGGCATTCGTAGAGCTGCCTTGGAGCTGAAGGAATCAGCTTCTGGAGTAGGACTGGCCCCATGGCCCACCAGGCCCTGCTGGGGTTCACTCACCAGGACATGGCCTCCCGGTATGTTTGTGCTCTGGGACATGACTCTTCTGGGCCAGCCTCTATCTTCAATACCTCAGCCTTCATGAGATCACATCCTTTCTTTTTCCTTTATTCTTGAATGTCTCTTTTCTGGGACATTCCAGCTTTCCTTTTGATGGTCTCAGGTCTGGGCTTAGCTGTGCAGAGCCCTGCTAGAAGTTGGAGACTGGCCCCGGGAGGTTTGGCCTCTTCCCCGCTTCCAGCACCACGCTTTCCTCGGGTCTTCGAGAGTGTCATCCCCTTCCCTCTCCTGGGGCTTCTTCCAGCTCGAATCTCAGGTCACATGCCCATTTTTCCAGGAAGCTGGAAGCCACAGGAAAGAATGGATGGCTCTGGCCCTCATCATAGTTTTCCTTTCCCAGAACACCTTGGGTGCAATCGTGGCCCGGTTCCCATCTATCTTTTCCACCTATTCCACCTCCGTCCAATCCCAGAGCTTGGCATGAGAGCTGGGCAAGTGCCTGTCACTGGCAGGTAGGGGTCTTGTACCAGGCGGAACTGCCACCTTGCTGGCACAGCTTCTGGCAGACCCACTGCCCCCAGCCATTGTCGGGATCCTGTAGGGCTGCAGGGAATGTTCTCTTGACATCTGTTCTGTGGCTTAAACAAATGCCCCATTTTTTAATCTTGAAAGCCGTGGGGTTGCCCTCGCTTCTCCAACTCATAGAAACCAATTCTCACCGCCCCACCTGTCATTTGTTTACTATAGAGAAAGACCTGAAGGTCCAGTAGCTTTATTACCCCCTCCCATATTTTCTAGGCGGCAGCCTACTACACACAAAAAGTCTTCTGTTATTTGGCTCAGTCTGTGTGCTTTGGAAATCGCTCATGTGATACAACCGACTCTGGCAACAACCTTGTGTTTTCTGCATCCATTAAATCTTTGCAGGTTCTTTTTCTATAAGGCAGTTGTGTGGATGTCTCTCTTTGGAGGCTTTCACTTCCTTCCTCTTAAGAAGGGAGGAAGGGAAAATCAGTATTCACAGAACCACTCCCTATGTATCTGATTTAATTACCACAACAACAATTTAGGTATTGTATGCTCCATTTTTATGGATAAGGGGAAATCAAGGGTCAGAGACTTACGTGGTTGCGCCCCAAGTAGAGTATAAAATCCCACACCCTGTCCCAGCTACCCAGAGCACCCTGGCCCACTTTGGGAAGAGTGGATATTCTGTTTGCCTCTCTTTGCCCCCTTCCTGCTCTCCTACCTACCAGCTGGAGACTCACTGACTGCCATTTCCCAGAGGTCAGTGGGCTTCTCCTCCTGTGCACAAATGCATGGAAACCTCCCTCCCCCCAGTCCTAAGCTGGCGGTTAGGGATATTTTTGTTTTTCGTTTTTCCGTGCCCTGGTGGTATGAGCAGCCTGCATAAAGTTGTAGTCTTGGATTCGCAGCAACAAAATTGCTAGGATAACCAAAGTGGCCACGTGTCATGGAATTCCATACAAAACCAACACAAAGACAGAACCTACAGAAGAACTCAGCCCAGTATCCATACTGCTTTCTGTGAAGGAAGGAAGGAAGGAAACTAATTGTTGAAAGCCCTCCATGGGCCAGGTGCTTTGTACGTGTGTTTGTTTGCACTCTTTATGAAGGTGGTATTCTCACTTTACAAACAAAGAAATTTACCCTTAGAGAGGTCGAATCACCATAGCTCAAGGTCACACAGCTAAGAGCCTGGGATTTAACTCCAGACCCCTATCTCTGAAAGTTGACTTCTGTTGCTCTTGGTCCCCAGGTTGGCATCTTTCATCATCTTCTTATTTCATAGCTTAGTCCTGGGAAGCTTAGTCTGAAGATCTGGGTTCTAGCAGGAAGAGGCTCCTAGCTGGGGGAGCAAAATCTTCCTGAGCCAAAGGAAGTTTTCCAAAAGACTCCAAAATTGCCTCATCTTTCCCCATGGATTTTAGAGTTTAACCGGGAGACTAAAATCATAGACTCCTGCAGCTGAAAGGGGCTGACTTACTCTCTTTGGGCTGCTATTAAAACCTCATGGGGGCAGAGAGTGTGGCGCAGTGGTACAGCACGTGCTAAGTATTTGTGAGGCCCTGGATCCATCCCTAGCACTCCTCTCCCCAAACACCGCAAACTGGGGAGCTTTTAAACAGTAAAAATTTATGCCTCCTTGTCTGGAGGCTGGAGGTCTAAGAACAAAATGCTGGCAAGTTTTTATTTGGCAAGGGTCTGCTTTCTGGTTCATAGGTAATGCGTTTAGCTGTGCCCTCACTTGGAAGAAAAGTAAATCTGTGATCTGTTATTTTAGGCCTTTTTTGTGGTGCTGGAGATTGAACCCAGGGCCTCATGCATGCTGGGCAAAGGTTCTACCACTGAGCTACATTTCCAGTGCTATTTAGCCCCTTACATGGGTGCTAATACCGTTGATGAGGGCCCATTCTATGGTCTGATAATACTGCCACACTGGGGGCTGGGTTTCAGCATGAATTGGGGAGGGGCACAATCAGTCTACAGTGGCAGCATACAGATCACTTATTCAATCTGCTTGTGTTTAATGGTAGAGGCAATAGACTAGCAAGCTGCATGAGTTACCCCAAATTGCACAGTCAGTGTGTGGCAGATGTGGGTCCAAAACCCGAGGTCTGACTGCCCAGCCTGGCCCTTTTTAAAGGACATTGATTTTGAGTAGGCCATATGTCCACATGACTCAATATTCAACTGTTTGAAAGTCACTCTGTCCATGAGCCATCTGGTGCTTCTCCTTGAAGGTAACAAATATCACCAGTAATTTCAGGAGATTTTATGCAAATACAAGAAAAGAACACCTTTGTGAGGCCGGACATGGTGGTGCACATCTGTAATCCCAGCACTCAGGAGGCTGAGGCAGGGGGATCATTGCAAGTTTGAGACCAGCGTGGGCTACAGAGTGAGCTCAAGATAACCTGAGCTGCATAGGGAGACCCTGTCTCAAAAAGACAAAAACAAACAAACCAAAAAACACCTTTATTTCTCTTTTTCCTGTTTGGGTGTGGGTCATTACTAACACAACATCAGATGATTTCTGGATTTCTGTTGTGAGATGTTCACTGACTATTCTTGTGTCCGTGTGTCCGTGTGTCTGTGGTGGTGGTGGTGCTGGCAGTGGAGCCCATGGCCTCACACAGGCTAGGTGAGTGCTCTGCCTGGGACCCACATCCTCAGTCCTGACTGTTAAGGGACTAACTTTGGGAATGATGACAGACCCCCACCATCCCCTCACAAGCAGTTCCACACACCATAGCTATATAGGGTGCTGTGGTTACTTTTCTTCTTGCTGAGACAAAAACCCAAAAACTCACAAGTTAAAGGAGGATTTCAGCCCACAGCTGATAGAGGTTTCAGCTCATCATTGGCTGGCTCTGAGGCGGGGTGGTGTGGCACAGGGGCATCACAGCAGAGGAACAGTCTCTGGCATGGCAGGCAGCAGGCCTGCCTTCCTTAGCACACCGTCAGTCCTCACACGTCCCAGTCCAGCCACATCCAAAACTCCCACCTATGGATGCATGAGGTTTGGGGGGACATCTAGATCCAAGCCATAACAGCGTGTGAAGAAATAACGCTGGCCTTAGGGTGCCCCACTTTGCTTTTGTTTCTGCCACCTACATGCTCTGACATTTTTCTGGTCCCAAGTCTTCCCTGGCCAAACCCCGCATCCAGGGATGAAGTAGGTAGGTGCCTCAGATCTGCACCGCTGAGGACCTGCCTAGATAGTGGAGTTGGCCTTGTTGAGAGGACTGCTGGAGGGCCACAATGGGCACAAGTGGGCAGGGGTGTGGAGAAGGCACTACTGGTTTCACTTGCACGTTGATTTGGGGGTGGTGGTTGAGAAATGGAGGACCTGCCATCACTGTCTTGGTGACCTGGAAAGCCCCCGTTTCTGCTTTGCCCTTGAATCTCACCTGAGGGGCCCTTGCCTGCCTCCCCCAGGGAATTTTCCCCGGCCAGCAGGTTTGTCACACAGCATGCCAAGTGAAGGGTACTGTAACAGTGTCAAGCTGAGCAACCCCAACCCAAGGAAGGCAGGCTTCGCCTCTCCACGCACCTTAGGTTCAAAACAAGGATGCATTCTTTGTTTTTCATTCCCAGAAGCTGGTGACTCAGAGCCGGCACACATAAGAGCAGTGACTACTTACTTCCAGGCCATGGACCCATTGAAATGGAGTCTCATCTTACTGCCATTCTGAAAGGCAGGTGCTGGTACCCTGTGTCCTAAACCTGCCCCACATCATGGTAGAGCTGGGGAGGTGACAGATGTTCTAAGTGTGAGTCTTGATAATTTAAAATCTGCTAACTTTTCTCAGGTAGAAGGAGAGGAAATGGCCATATTCTACAAGAGTACTTTTCAGAACGGGATAGACACACACAGCAGCACTTAGCTGCTTCCTAGGCTGAGAAGTGTCAGAGGTGGAGCCCAGCTCTTATCTTTGGTGTCACCTTACAAGGGAGTACAGGAGGCCCTTGGTGGCCAAGGCAGTCAAACCTTGGATTCTCCTCCCGCTTTGGAGCCTCACGTGGTTTTCCTGGGAGGATCCTCTGCCTGGAATGCCTGATGGCTCCTCTTTCTTCCCAGGGTCCTTGAGGACAGTAAGATGGTTGGAGAACTCTGGCAATTCATATTTCTGTGTCATCTTTTTGAGACAGGATCTCACTATGTAGTTCAGGCTGGCCTTGAACTCACACTGTGTAACTCAGGCTGGCCTCAAAGTCACGGTAATCCTTCTGTCTCAGTCTCCCAAGTGCTGGGATTGCACACCTGGTTATCTAGGGCTGCTTGAGATGGAATCCCGTGTGACCGCTTGCAGGGCTGCTGAGAGAGTCTGGCACCTGAGTTCAATTGTGACAAATAGAACAGTCTTTCACACAGGGCTCTGGGATAGAGCACTGGCCGCAGTTTGTGGCAGGCAAGGCTGGGACAGGATGGGTTAGGAGTGGGATCTTCATCTTCCTTAGTAGGCCAGGTCAGCTTCCTCATCCTTTGGTTTGCTTGTGAAAGAACCATATAACTTCCATTCATTCCGTATGTGATTGTTTCCCCTGAGCCCTGCCCTCTAATCAGACAAGAGGACTAGGCCTGGATCATTGGGGTGATTGCTCCTGAGAGAGTGCTGCTGGGTTCACTAGGTCGACTCAGCAGGAGCCCTTCCTGCAACGCCCTCCTGACTATAAGGGGAGGGTCTTCTGTCTGAGGGTGCAGGTGCAGCACAGCCGGGTGGGGCTGGCCCAGTTCTGGGAAGCACAGGTCTCACTCAGCTCTGGGAGGAAGTTTGCCAGGGGATTAGGTTCCCCATCATGGCCAGGTTGTATGAGGTTATAGACCCGGCCACTTTAGTGACCAGTCTCCCTGCAGGGCCCCTCCCGGGGGCCTAGGGGTGGGAAGGGGCAAAGGTGGGAAATGGAGGTGGACTTTTTCTCACCTATTACATGAGCTAAGGATACAAGACTGGCTCTGAAAGGCCTGGGCTTAATTTCTGGCTGTTATTTACCAGTGGGGCAGCTTTGGGATTCTTCTCTCCAGCTCTGTTTCCTCATTTGTATAACAAAGCTGAAAACTCATCCTACGGAGAGGAGCTGTGAAATGACCTGTGTCAGGTGCCTGGGGGAAGTGCTTGCTAAACTGCTGAGTGCTGCAGGAATACAAGTTGTTATCCATCCTGTGCTTGAATGCTTCAAGGGCAGGGTGCTCACTACCACATAATGTAGCTGTTCATTCTGCCACTGGGCAGCTCCGAGTGCTCCTTCTTAGGGAGCCTTTTTACTCCTCTGAACTCACACAGAAAAAAGCAACAGTTCTTGTCCCACCAGCCCCATTTCCTAGTGGAGAAAGCAGGCCCTGGGACCACAACAGCATCCATTTTGGCTGCAGAGGGGAGGGGGATGGGGACAGTCCCGGGGCTTCCCCCTCTCTC